CAATATCCTCACACCGCGATTGAAGCGCAGCTCCAAGTACTGGAAAAAGCGATTGAATCATTGACGATCCCTCGTTTATTCTATCAGTAAAAAATGATGAAATCCAAGTGCCGGTCACATTTTTATGTGGAAAAATTTGGAATCAATTCAGACTTAAATTCAAATTTTTTCGAACATCTTTGGCTCATGAAGTATGAATGCAAATTGGTTGAATTTCTGGAAATCAATTTTTTATCATGAGAGCGATTTTGTTGGCACTTTGAGAATATAAATTTATTACGATACACGCACGAAAAACTTTGATAGAAAATCGTAGTGAATTCGCTAGACAATTCTATTGGATTTCAGTTGAACTTTCTATTAGTTTTTGGCCCATTCTTTTGAAATGTTCGATAGAAAATATTTTAGAGAAAAAGTCACTAGAATTTTATTTTTCTATACAACTTACTCTATTGAGATATTTTCCATAGAATTTCCTCGGCTCAAATTTTCGAAGGTTTTTTCATTCCATTGTCCTTTTCTTTTCATCATGAAACAAAACTCGTTGGTAAAAATAGGGAAATTCATAAGGATTTGAATTTTCTCAGTTGGGAAAATAACGGACCGGCAATTACGCGATACGGGATAGACTGACTGATTTGAGTTTCTTTCGAAGTTCAATTCGTTCACAATCAATCCAATAATCATTTTCATCGCTTAATACATGTGTAAAAAAAAGTCAATAGGAAATCTATCGCATTCCAGCGGATTCATATCGAAATTTAATTTTTTTTATTTTGATCATTTAAGAAATTTTATATTTATCCGAAATATGAGGGCAATTGGTTAATATCAAGAAAACGAGTTCTCAAATCAATTCAAGTGATTGTTGCATTAAAATATTTCAGAATTGAGACTAAAAAACTTTAAAATGAATTAACGAATTAATTAATAGTTTAATATTTTTAAATCTTAAAATCATCACAAAACTTCCTAAAATCAGGCTGAGCCTGAATCCAACTTCTGATGTTCAACTACAAATGTCTGAAATCTCTTCAATTAGAGGAAAGCCAAGCACTTGGATATCCTCAATTCACCCGTAAATAACGAACCTCATAACACGAGTTGAGTTTTAATTTCATAAAAACTGGCAGATATACGTTAGCTGTAATGACCCCAGCGAGCAAAATAGAGAATACAGTTATCCAATACTGGGTGCCAAAGTTATAAATCTCCGCTGGAGTTCCCAGGATTGTAACACCAGAGATGAAGCTGCAGATTACAAAACCGAAAATAAAAAATCTCGCAACAGGTAAATTAAATTTTTTTAAAAAATAAAGCTAATCAGACCTGGCGATAAGGGAAGCAGAGACCGGGAAGACGGTGAATCCACTCCTCCCAAGTATGTACTCAGCGATCGTCGATTTGAGTGCTTTCCGGAAGTGCCAGATACCGGATGCGGCTGAGCAACTGAGCATAAGAGCAAATACCAGCCAGTCTGCCCAGTGAAAGTACCTATCCCCTGTTTCCATGATGATTCACTCCACGATTATATCAACATTTATCAATGAAACTGCAAGAAATCCCGCCGAGTGCGAAGATTTAATTCTCTAATTCTGAAAAAAAAACATTTCGTCGTCGTGTAGCCAAAGGGGCGCAAGTGGCGTGTATAAGCGCAGCTTTTACCCCGCTCTGGATCTACGACGGCGATATTGAAGATCAAAGGAAGATGAAAAAAAGAACGCTTAAACTCTGTAACGACGCGAAATTGAGAATACGTGCTTAGACAAACCCCAATGGTCAGAGTTCAACAGCTCCGTTAAGTATTGCGATTCAATGAAAACAGTATTACTAGCAGTAGTTCCCTGCACGGAGAGATGGGAACGGGAGATTCATGGAAAACTATACCTTTGAATATTCGCCAAGAGCCTTTATAACAGAAAAAATTCGTTCACGAAATCAGGAATAATTTTTCTTAATAAATTTGAATCTCGAGGATGATTGTATGTAGGAGATAATTCCCTGCAATGTCAGACAAATCTTGCGCGTTGTTCACAAAATGCTCACGATATTTATCAGTCGACGAACTACAGTTCTCTCAAACAATAACGCGAATACTATTATTTTTTTCACAAAAAATTGATATTGGAATATACGTCAAGAGAGTTTGTAACAGAAAAAAATCTCTCACGAAAGAAGAAATAATTTTTCTTAATAGATTTGAAATGATTTCGACAGTGATTGAATGTAGGAGATAATTCCCTGCAGTGTCAGACGAAGAATTTAATTTAAATGATTCTTTCTAATGCCAGTAGGCTATCCCACTCCTCCTGGAGGCAATTTTCGTGGACATATCTTATAACCATTTGCAAATGTTCACTGCGCAACCGCTTCGTTGAGTATCGCGATTCAATGAAAACAACAATACCGCTACAATTGAATATAAAATCCCTAATAAATCGATCGTCAAACCGAACGAAAAGACGCCGAGTCACACAACCTCAAGAATTCGAAAAGCTCCATGCATAGAAATGCTTAATTACCCCCAGCTAAGATCATCAGGATGTGATGGTTGAACTTTAAACCTTGAATACCAATGAACCATCCCGGAATTCTACATGTGCAACCGAGCTCGCAGTTGATGAACTAGCTCCCGTCTCAAGCAATACGGCAAATACCCTTATTATCATTTTTCATTTTCTAATAAATTAATTATAGAAATACATGTCGAGCAAATTTATAACACGAAAAATCCCCTCACGAGACAAAAAATTTCTTATTGAATTCTAAATGATCTCGACAATAACAGATTGTAGGAGAAAATTCCATACAAGCTCAGACAGGGGATTGAATTCAAAATAATTCTTCCCTACACCACTAGACTATTCCACTATTCCTAGCGGTAATTCTCGTACACATCTCATAATAATTCATAAATGTTCAGTATAGCGATCCAATGAAAACAACAATATCGCTACAATTCTCTCCAGTAAAAAATTCTTCGAATCCCTACAGAATATAAAATCCCTAACAACTCGATCGTCAAACCGAACGAAAAGACGCCGAGTCACGCAAACTCAAAAATTCGAAAAGCTCCATGCATAAAAATGCTTAACTGCCCCCCCAATTAAGATCATGAGGAAGTTTTGAACTTTAAACCTTGGATACCAATGAACCATCCCAGAATTCTACATGTGCAACTGAGCTAGCAGTCGATGAACTAGAGTTATCGTCTCAAACAACATCGCGAATACTCTCATTTTCATCTCTTATTCTCCAAAAAAATAGTTATTGAAATACCTGTCGAGCATATTTATAACATGATAAATCCCCTCAGGAAAAAAAAATTCTTATTGAATTCTAATTATCTCGACAATAACAGATTGTAGGAGAAAATTCCGTACAAGGTCAGACAGGGGATTGAATTCAAAATAATTCTTTCCAACACCACTAGACTATTCCACTATTCCTAGCGGTAATTCTCGTACACATCTCATAACAATTCATAAATGTTCAGTATAGCGATCCAATGAAAACAACAATATTGCTACAATTCTCTCCAGTAAAAAATTCTTCGAATCCCTACAGAATATAAAATCCCTAACAAATCGATCGTCAAACCGAACGAAAAGACGCCGAGTCACGCAAACTCAAGAATTCGAAAAGCTCCATGCATAGAAATGCTTAATTGCCCCCAATTAAGATCATCAGGAAGTTTTGAACTTTAAACCTTGGATACCAATGAACCATCCCAGAATTCTACATGTGCAACCGAGCTCGCAGTCGATGAACTAGCTCCCGTCTCAAGCAATACGGCAAATACCCTTATTATCATTTCTCATTTTCTATTAAACTAATTATAGAAATACATGTCGAGCAAATTTAAAACACGAAAAATCCCCTCACGAGAAAAAAAATTTCTTATTGAATTCTAAATGATCTCGACAATAACAGATTGTAGGAGAAAATTCCATACAAGGTCAGACGGGGGATTAAATTCAAATGATTCTTCCCAACGCCACTAGACTATTCCACTATTCCTAGAGGTAATTCTCGTACATATCTGATAAGCATTCATAAATATTCACTGCTCAAGTGAATTAACTTCATTAATTATCACGGTCCAAAGGCAATAACAGTACCGCTACAATAGACTACAAAATCCCTAATAAATCGATCGTCAACCCGAGCGAAAAGACACCGCGTCACACAAACTCAAGAATTCGAAAAGCTCGATGCACTATCAGTCGATGAACTAGCTCCCGTCTTCGCAATACCGCGAATACCGATCCGCAAATTTATAAATAGTTTCCTTTAATTTTAGCATCAGTGGGATGAGTACAAACCGTCATATACCGCTGCAAATGTGACAATCAAAATGTCTTCAAACTGTTGCAATCAACCTCATCGTCTCCAAAAAAACCACACTATCACTCGATGAATATCGTCACACGAGTTATCGATTACATGTTCAAGCACTTTCTCTTATCTCCGTCATTGTCACACGATATTGCCGATGTTATGTATGGCCACTATTATGAAACCGCTGAATTATCACGTTCAACTTTCGAATGACAGTGAAGAGTATTCTCTCTCTCTCTTTCTCTCTCTCTCTCTCTGCGGTGACTCTTTAATGACCACTGGGAGTCGACTGCGAGGAGTCAATGTGCGATCGCCGATCGCTTCCAACGATCCACTCCTTCAATTTCCCTCTCCAAACACATGTGGCACATAGTAATGACGGGGACACGTGCATAAGAAGCAGTTTACTTCGATGAACGCTCAATGAAGGGGGAAAAATAATGTTGAATACAACTGACGACGCCTCCTCTGCCTGACACGAATTCACAACAATCAACTTGCAATACTCACGCTATTTTATTTTTCACCGCTCAATTGATGACTCTCAAACGCCTGACGATAACTGTTGCAATTGACCCGTTAAATCTCCGTGCAAACCACGTTGTGACATCTTGATAAGAATATAATTTATGTAATCATCAAACTTCTTCATCAATTAGTTGTCTTATCTCAAAGTTGGAATGATATTTATTCAATAAATCGTTTTTCTTCATCATTTATAAATGTATTGTACAATGTTTTACATATCGACTTAACACGAAGAATTGCACACAAAATATCCTCATTACTCTTCATCAGCCTTATGTTCTTGGGGTAATTATTGTTCAACAACCCAAAGAGGAATATGTTTCTCGGTTAAACGTATAAAACAGAAAGTCACTGTGAGGAATACGCACATGTATGACAATAATTGAGACAAGTAGGCATGGCAATAGTGACGTAATTGATGTTGTAATTGTTATGATTGATGAAAAAGTGAGGATTATCTACGTCCATGAACTCAAATATATTTCAATCATTCGTATGACTAATTGGAATGTTTTGTATTCAGAGTTTGTTGCGGTTGAGTTACAAACTCTGTTCGATTGAATTCCACAGGAAATAAATACAAATGTTTGTTTTGGTTCGCGAATAGCCTCTGGTGATGGTGAATAACGTGTTACACAGTAACACTCTTATTTCCTAGTATAATTGTCTAGTTGTGTATCCAGGATTTCCACCAGCCCTCGACAGTACCAATTTAATCCTTCGTCTGTGTTTATTACACTTCGGGGCAATACTCTGATTTTTCTATTCCACTGGTTTTATTGTGTCGTTATCCATGATAACAGAACAAGTTTTTTAGATGAGTACCAAGACAATTTATTGTAGCTGGGAGAATCACGTAAAAAATAGTTTCTCTCGTACCTTGTGGAATGTGGAACAATTTAGATAAGAGTAACTGACGAATATAAAAAAAGTTTCCTCATTTTCTTTTGAAATCACTCGTTTCAAAGATAATTCACTGTCGAGTTAATGAAATGGAATTGACTTTGAAAGAATGCATTGTTTTTTATTCTAGTCTCTATATTGGTACATTGTTTATCTTCATGAATTTCACTATTATCAATTATTTTTCATAAGAAATTGATTTTTGAATATCAAAAGACGATAGCGGGGAAAATTTCTACATAATTTCATTGTCTTGTTAAATTATGTAGACAATGAGTGATTGTAGGGGAGAATGCCAGGTATTTTCTTCCAAATAAAATAAATAATAAATAAATAATCTTGATATATGTGGAATTATCGATTGTTAAACGTGAAAGTACTGACAAAACCCCAGGACTTTCTGCTACATCCTTTACCTTGATGAATATTATCGTCATCTATTATTTGTTGTATAAAAAACGAATTATTAAAATAAATATTGAGAGGCTTTGTAACAGAAAATTCTCTCAAGGAAAGGAAAAGGTTTCGTTCATCTTCTTAATTTCGAGGACATGTCTGTCGACATTTTATCTGAAAACGACTCATTCTGCAGATAATTCCCAGATAAACACCAGACGAAGGATTAAAATGAAATGATTCTTCTCAACACCACTGCCCTCACTGATTCCTAGACAAAGTTCTCGTAGACAGATCTCATGACCATTTATAAATGTTCACTGTATTTATCGGAGTATAGAAATATGGATTGTAGGATGAATTCTTCGATATTATCATTTGGTTCTTTGATTTATTTTCAATTAAAGTCCTCGTGGACAATCCGTGAGAAGCTGTCTTGGAATTGCCTTGCCCATTCGAAGACAGCCTCCCACAGACGGCCGCCGAGGACATAACTTGACCTATGTCCATATCGGTGTGTCACACCGACCCAGACCTCAAAACGCCTGCGATGGACGTCAGAGGGTTCATACTGAATCACAGCTTTTGCATTTTACCCTCGCCGAACAACCATCGACACGCTCTGTCAACAGCAAAGGCTGCTACGAAATTTCCGACTAGGACCATAACTAGTGTACTCCGAAACTGAAATTTAAATACATTTATCAATTAATTATTTTCCAATTTTGAAGAATGAAGAAAGCAAAAAAATCAACAAATCGATTTTTATTACTTTTCCGTGAATTTTCTCAACTAAAAGATCTCTTGAAATTTTGCTCAGAATTTTCATTTATTTATGTTTTTATATTTTTCAAAAATCACGCATTGTTAGGTAATTATTGATCAGGAATGTTCAATTGTTAAAGAAACCAAAAAAATTGATGAATCTATTCTTTTCTCTCAAGAATGCAATCGTGTCATTCTAATGATTTTTTTTTAATTAAAAAAATGAGGTATTAGTTTTTTAATATTGAACTCACCTCATCTGGAAAATCAACAATTTTAAGTTGAGCTGCGATAGGTGGGGTGAGGCCACAAGCCAATCCTATAACGAGACCAAAACTAACTAGAAGTGAATAGAACAGAGCCTTGTTCTCAACCAGACTCTCCATGAAGGGTACGCCCTGGAAATAAAATAATTTCATTCAATAAAAATATCGTGACATACCTGAGAACAATTCATAAAAGAAAAAGTCGTAAGGGAGTGGAAAAATGATCAACCCATTCACTTGTTGTTGAAATAAATTCTTCCCACAAATTAATAAATTTTGCATATTTAATAACGACAATTTTGAGTGATTTGAAGAAAAATCATCGAGAGAAATTCTTCAAAGAGAATTTCTCTACAGAAGATCTTTCAACGTTTCGTTTTGAATTCACTCGTTTTAGAGAAAAAAACATCATTATGGCATTGATCAATTAATTTCGCATCTTTAATGACATTACCCTATAATTTACAGCGAAGTTGCAGACTTGAAGTGCCAGTGAAATAATATAAACAGCACTATTGACGACATTAGCTTCAAAATTCTCCTCATCATCATCATCCAGCTCACTTGATTTAGTATCCGTCATGTTTTCAGTTGAAAGAATACTCCTCAACTTCTCATCCCTGCAAAAAGTACACCAATTAATCAAAATAATCCCCACAATTGTCCCCAAAATCACCCAAAAATCCCCCAACTTACGGTGGTGAGTAAACAGTTGCCTCCCTGACCAAATAAATCAAACAGAAGAAGTGGACAGCAAACTGCAGCAGCACCGTAAGAATCGTGTACAAATTAAAAATATTTGGCAGTGGTCTCTGCTTGGATAGTGTCCTCAGAGGTTTTGAACGTGAAATAAATAAAAAGCAGAATGCCAGTAGTACACTCTGCATAGTTGCCTGGGCATCACTGAATTTAATTCCAGATAAATACAGAACTGATTGACTGTAGGCGAGTACTAACGCATTGAGAGCCAAGATCTTGAACATTTGGAGGGTTGTGACCAATGTACATCTTCCCTGTTTGATCACATGACAAACTGGAACCAAAAAGTAGTGGAATTAACAATAAAATCATTTTAAATACTCTAAAAAATGTCTAATTCATTTCACATTGAAAGTAAAAAATTCAGCCAGTCAATTTTACAAATATCTTGAAAACTAATCATCGAAAAATGCCAGAAAACACACCTCTTCCTTCCAATTCCAAATATATACATCAATTATTCTCAATTGTTATTGAAAGGAGGTTGAATTATGAATAAATAAATTAATCCATTAATCCCCCCTATTTACAAAATATTGAAAAATCCTTCTCAAAACAAGCCCCAGTTGATACCACTCTAAAGCCCAAAAATTCGCTCTGACAATTTTGCGAATGTCTCAAAAACTACTGGACTTATCGAAAAATCCTAAAAAGACTTTCTATAGCCCACAAAATTCTCCACGAAAAAGTTCTCTGGCAAAATCCCTTAAACCTATTTATCTCCAAGATATGAGAATAAACTGAACATGAATTTTCCCCTTTCCTGTAGACCAAATCAATAAACAATGGGACCTATCAATCAACTTACTGCACATAATCGAGGACATTTTACTAGTAAAAGGAGCAGCAATGGAGGCATCCCCCAACTTGACAATGGTCGCCTGCTCCTGCTCCTCAATCTCCTTCAGCAACTTCTGAATCTGCATGTTATTAATCTGTTGCCTCGTCATCTGCTGCCTGGGCCCATTATTCGGCGAGGCATTGACATTCGGACTCTGCGTCTTCTCCTCCCCGATCTTCTCCGGAGGACTGGAGAGAATAGCCACCCCCACCTGTGCATGCTTCAACGCCCCAACATCATTGGTCCCATCTCCACACATGAGTGTCGTGAACCCCAGCTCTTGCAGCGAGATCACAATGAACTCCTTCTGTTTGGGCTCACACCTGGCATAAATCACGATATGAGGGAGTAATTTTTTCAGAAGAGACTGATCACTCTCCCTTAAATACTCCAGCCCATCTCCAGTCACACACAGCGCGTAATTCTTCCAGATCTCCTTCCCCCTAGCCTCGACATTGGCCCTCCCAACATCGATTATCGTCTGCTGATCGACACTCTCCCAGTGCCATTTAGCCCCCTTCTGAGTCATTATCAACGTCGTCGGCTTCTTGGTAAAATGAAGCTCTCTGCTGACATGACAGGCAGTGAGAGGATTATCCCCAGTGATCATGACAACCACATGAGAAGCATTAATAATCTCCTTGATAACAGCTGACGAATCTGGCTTCAGAGGACAACTGATAATCACAAATCCCACAAAGACCAAATCATTCTCCAATTCCTCTCGTGACAAAGCCCTGAGGTCCTGGGAGTTCAACGAAGAGGGAAGTTTCTTGTACCCCAGAGCCAAAACCCTAGCTCCCCTCCTCGACAGGCCCAAATAAGTCGCCTCGTAATTGTCAGGAATAGATGAGAACATGTCCTTAAGAGTTTCTGGGGCTCCCTTGACAGTCACCATGTACTGGACCTCAGTAGAATTGGGTAGAGTATTCCCAACGATAACGGACATTCGTTTGAGACTCGATGAGAAGTGGAACCTGTGAAAGATCTTGAGAGCCCTAGCCTTCCCCTTATTAGGCACAACAGCTTCGTTCTTCGTGAGACTCCACTTGACAGCCTTTAAAGTAGCTTTCTCGAGGGGATCGCCCACGATTCCCCCGTCGAGCTGCACCAGTGAATGACAAGTTGCCAGGACTTGAATACTTTCAATTGGGGCCTCATCAACCTGGATGATCTTGGTGTCTCCATCAATCCCAGTGACCCCTTCCACAACTAAATTATCACTCGTCAGTGTTCCAGTCTTGTCGAAGCAGCAGAACTCCACTTTTCCAGCGAAAGGCATTCGGAAGGGCTCTGTGCAGTACACCCCGAGCTTGGAGAGCGCCATCAACGAGGTATTGACAGCCAGGGACAGCTCAATGGGCAATTCAGGGGGTATTACTGATGTCAGGATCAAGCAGCACTCCAAGAACAATTTGTAACGACTTCTCTCAGGGTCTGCTGTTCCATTTATCCAGACGTAGGCAGCAGCAGCAACGGCGAAGATCAGGAGGAACAGAATGAACCCAAAGGTCTCGAGATTGTTTGCTGTGACTCTCTTAACTCCAAAGAGAATTGTCCTCAGGAGTTTGCCCTGGGATGTGGAGAAACCTGTTCGCAGGACGTATCCAACGCATCCCTTGTCTGTTGGGTTGAGGCCAGATGTGGCTTTGCTGAGGGGTGTGTGCTGCACGATTTTTGTCCCTCCGAAGAGAACGTGGATCTTGTGCTCTCTGTCGATGTTCAGGTTATGGTTGGGGTCGATCTCTTCGACTGGCTCCTTCATCTGGGGGACGGATTCACCTGTGAGCATGCTCTCATCCACGACACACTGGCCCCTCAGGAGAAGAATGTCGCATGGAACTAGTTGGTCACTCTGGGATCTGACGAGTGAGACGATGTCCCCAGGGACCAATTGATCTATGAACATCATCCTCCACCTTCTGTTCCTGTAGACGTTCATCATGTAGGGTTTCGTCCCCATTTTACGGATTTCCGCCATGTTTCGCAGTTGTTGGCGCACCAACATGTACTCGAACATTATCAGCATGAAGAGGGTGAAGATGCTGTAGTACCAGTACTCGTCGAAGCACCAGAGAGAGACGCAGAACACCTGGAACACGAAGAAGGGCGCAACTGCGCGCTCCTTGAAGAGCTCCCAGGCCTCAGGGATCACCATGTCCAGATGGTTCTTTCCGTACTTCTCCTCGGCCTCTGCTATCTCTTCCTCGCTGACGTAGCCCTTCCATTCGCAGTAGGTTTTTATGGCCTCGGCCACTGGAAACTGGAGACCTTGGAAACGCTTTTTGTTGGGGGACCAGCAGTATTTGGTCTTTTGAAATATGAACCAGGGCTCTTTGTTCGGCTTCTGGTGCAGTCTTACTAGCTCTGAGCTGCCGTTGTTCGGGGTGGGGATCACTTTGACTACTGTTGCTTTGTAGGGATCCCTCGTCTGTGGAATGAAATTCGAGAATTCAAGAAATTGCAGTGGGCAAAGGGGATCTCCTCTACTCGTTAATAACCCAACATTGAGTTAATGGGATTTGATTGACTTCGAATCGTTTTCAGGGTCTTACTGAATTTCAGAGTGAAACCTGATCCGTGACGATGGCATGATTTGTTTAGAAGATATCTCAGATTTAGAGAGATTATTGATAATTGTTCGAATTTGTAGGGTAAACAGGTCAATTTCTGGACGGGCGTTAGTGTCTGGACGATTCAACTTGCATTGAATAATCATGTTATCAATTATTTTTTCTATTGATCGATATTTAATAAATACAAAAAATATGGCCCCATCGTCCACAAATTAGGGGTTGAGGCTGCATTCAACTATTTCTTAATTTCATTATTCTTAATTATTAAGAAGTGAACAACAGACTCATTAGAATTGTCCACTTTGCATGTAACACATGCGAAAATCATACCATTCATTCAAGAAATATTAGAAACTGAAAAATGTCTAGTTAATCTCCTCCTGTCCTGACAGTCAAAAACAACAGAATGATTCCAATTATTGAACAAACTCACCGAACTACAGTTCAGGAAACAATAGATGTGAACAGACCACTGACAACACAGACACAAAAATATCTGGAGGACCCCGATGGCAGCAACGCCAACGAGACCCTCGTGGAAGTAGTCGTCCGACCCATAAACAAACAACCAGTTGTAAATCCATATGGTCTCCAGTGTTAAAAACGGCAGGACATAACCATTGAATATCAATCTCCTCTGATTGTGGAGGCTGACTGATTGCACGAGATCATCCACCCGCTCATTGCTCTCCGCCATGGTTGGAAGTGCAGCTGGGAAAAGACACTGGGTCACACCACGATGAAGAATACCATGCACACTCCACCGGCTGTTCCTATTTCTGCTTCGTCAGTACTTATGGTTAGACGATTCACGTAAATACGTGGAGATTCCGGCTATTTAATGGTTTACGATGACAAATGATGAACAATCATGATAAGGCAAGGGGTTTTACGACACTTTGCAACTTCACTATTTTTATTTGATTGTTTTTGTCAGGGAAAATGCGGAAAATACATATTTCATTTTCCTTGGAAAATTGGTCAAATTCGTGGAGTAACCACGTGAATGTAGATGCACTCTGGAGCGAAGTCAGGTGGCTGGCGTGAAGTTTGATTAGATCCGATCAATTAGCCCCTCATGAATAGATATTCCAAATTTTTATTTTTTTTCTCATTGAAGTAGTTTTGAAGAAAATTGCGAGCTAATAAAAAACATTTGCTAGTTAGTACTTTTTTTAAAATAAATTTTTGAAAAATCACCCCTGAAAACAAAATTTTATCACCAATCGATAGCAAATTATTTGAAGATTTTTGCGAGTTAAGAAAAAATCGTCAATGCACTCCTATTATTGTGTAAATTAACAATTCCAATTTCAACTGAAAACCAGAGTAATTCGAATCCTGGCGGTTGCCTCAAGTGGCCACTAGTGGCGCCCGTAGCAGTCCGGGAAATTGCAGTTGCACCAACTGCAGATAATTTTATCATCAGCAAATTCGCTTCGGCCATTTTTGAGACCACTCTAGTGCTCCGAATTGCTCGATCGACCATTAATTTCCTCGTGAATTAATGGTCATTATCAAAAAGTGAATAGTAACGCAAAAATCATTGCTGCATTCAGTAGTTAAGCCCTCAAGGGTGAGTTACGACAGGCTGTGGATCAATAGCACTGGGCCGATGGAATGAAGAATCTACTGTGCTATTTGTTTGTTGCAGGGACCATCAGGAGTAAATAATGGCTGATTTCCTGGATTCGGAGGCCGAGGAGAGTGAGGCAAGTGTTTTTTTAATAGTCTCCTAATGAATGGCACTATCTCCGAGGTATCCGTTAATTAATTCGATGGGTTTTGGGGGTTTAGGAGGAGCAAGAGTTGGATCACAATGAGAGGAAGAAGCTGAAAAAGGTTAAGGCTATGGAGGAGAGCGACGAGGACGACGAGGATGATGAAGATCGAATTAGGGAGGAATTGAAGGATTTGATTGATGATAGACCCATTGATGAGAGCGAGGGGGAGGACAGTGATGGCTCGGAGGGAAAGAAACGCAAGAAGAGTGATGATGAGGACTTTGATGATCGACTTGAGGACGACGACTATGATCTCATTGAGGAGAATCTGGGGATCACTGTTGAGAGGGTGAGCACAGGGGAATTTTTTCATTCAATCTTCTTTCGTCTCTCTTTACTAAATAGAGTAAATCTCTTATTTTTTTTCGATTCAACAGGATTTTTTGGGTTAATGAATCTAGGGAGGAATTAGGCTATCAATTATTTTAGTCATTTTGGACTTTTTTGAATGTTTAATGACTCATTTAATTTTCAATGAAATAGAATAATTTTCATCCAGGGGAAATACAGTCGTTCCCCTTTGCCATGAGCCTGGACTAATCTCAGTTGATGAATATGATTCTGAGTTATGAATATTACAGTGAGAGAAAAACAGCAGAGATCTCAAACAAGTCTTACTTGCACCAAAAAAATTGTTTGTTAAAAATGATCAACAATGGACTTGTTTTGTCCCAAACAGGCGAAGCATGCGGCGAGGTTGAAAATTTTAATTGCAACAATAGATTTAGTCTTTTCAAAAAAAAAAGATTATTCTCTGTGCAGACAAGAAATGTAATTATCAGCACTACTTCTCCGTTATCCGATGCTATCACAGACAAAAAATGAGGTCTTAAATGAAATAATAATAGTGATATGACAGCAACCTTGTAACTTAGGGACAAAATATTTTGTGATAAACTTTCCTCTATAAAATATATTTTTATCCAAAACGGCACTGTCTTGTATGAATGATTCGCCTGTTGAGACAGAGCAATTATTTTTTGGTAATTTTCAACTAACGATTTTGCTGGTCCAAACAAGACTTGTTTGAGAACTTGTTCGTTTTTTTATCAGTGTACAAAAAACTTCATGAATGTTCATTTTGTCCATTTCATTCTCCCCTGCATGAGGCCGCACCACAGAAAGTCCCGGAACTTAAAATAGTGTAAAAAACAGTGGAATGTTGGGAGAAAATCTAACACTTGCGAAGTCTTTCGAAAATTCTTGAAAATTCCAGGATTTCTCATAAAAAAATCAAGATTTACAACGGTTGTTTTTTATGTTTACTCTCATTTTTTAATTGATTATGATTAGAATATCATCGAATGAATTTGTGAGCAAATCATCATCGTTTAGAAAAAATAAAAAGCAAGAAAGGCGAACAACATTACAAATAATAGGAACAGCATATGAGTTTTTTTGTTTTAATTACTCATTGAATTACTTAATTCTTTCCCTCAATGCTAAGCCTAGATTGAGTTCAGTTTTTTAATTTATTCCTAAATTCTCAACTCTGGAAAAAATGAAATATCTATTTTGTTCCAAGAAATTTTCTAAAGATTCCCAAAACTCCGTAAAATATATGTCTCAAGAATTATATTTCCTAAAAATGATTAAAAATCTCAATTTCCTTCAGAGACTCGAAAATATTGCTGTTTTCCAAAAAAAAAAAAATCCAGAAAAATTTGACAACTAGTTGGCATTTTTATATGATGAAATGTGGAGTTTAAGTTCTTGAAAATTTTGTGTCGTCTAGAAACGATTCAAAAGGCTGAAACGAGTACAAGATCGAGAATCTGATGACGAGGAGGAGCATCATCCCGGAGAGGAGAGGGACGCCATCGCTAATGAGCTGTTCGAAGGGGGATCTGGTGATGTGAGTATGAAAAAATTGAATGTACATCGCAATTAATGTTGAGATTCTAAATATATTGTATTTGTTTTTGCTGTCGTGTTAAGGAGAGGGATGCACTAGTGGTAGGTAGAGCTTGTTCTGCACGCTTCATACAGTTCCAAAGAAATTTAATTTTAAAAAAACTGGAGAATTTTTTTGTCATTCAACATTGAAGCTATTTTAATAAAGAGAAAATTTAAGAGAAATTTTCAAGACTTTTTTGGTAACTGACAGAAGGTTTACAAAAAATGTCACTGACATTTCCTTGTAAACGGATTCATTATCGCAATATAATTGAATAGTTGATTACATCTTCTGAATATCAACAAGAAATTATGAATAGACAATGAAGAATGAAAAGAAGACCAAAACCAGAAAGTTTTGCTACTTTGTCAAATAACCAATCTTGATGACGAGTAATTTTAGCAGGAAATTCCTAGAGAAAAAAATCTCTCGGCACTTCCCTCTAAACGCACTCATTATCAGCATATGATTCAATATCTAATTGCATCTTCCAAATATCAATAATAAACCGCAAATCAACAATAAAGGACAAAATTACAGAATTTTCCTTGCCCATGAAAAAAAAACACATTTACCGACAATTTACTGACACTGGCTAACCATCGATAAGTATTCAATTGTATTTTCCATTCCCTCCAATAACGAAGCCTTCCCTCCCCCCAGGAGGATGAACGGCGCAGCGAGAGAAGCCACCGACAGGAGCCCGAGACCTTCGACGAAGAGGGAAGCGAGGGCGAGTACTCAGACGCCGACGACTTCATCGTGGACGACGAGGGTCGCCCCATAGCCGAGCGCCGACGAAAGAAGAAGCCCATCTTCTCGGACGCAGCCCTCCAAGAGGCCCAGGACATCTTCGGCGTGGACTTTGACTACGATGAGTTCGGTAAATACGACGAGGCCGGCTACGAGGAGGAAGAGGAGGAGGAGGAAGACGAGTACGTCGAGGACGACGGCGAGGGCGAGCGCCCCAGACGCCCCAAGAAGACCCCAAAGAAGAAGCCCACGAAGAAGAGCATCTTCGAGATCTACGAGCCCAGTGAACTGAAACGTGGTCACTTCACAGACATGGACAATGAGATCCGAATCACAGACATTCCGGAACGAATGCAGCTCCGATCGATGCCAGTGACATCTGTTCCAGAAGGATCCGACGAGCTCGATCAAGAGGCCGAGTGGATCTACAAGCAAGCTTTCTGCAAGCCAACGATATCCGTTCAGGACGCCCACCTGAACGCCGAGGCCAAAGATCGCGCGCGCAAGGGTCCCCAGACAGTTGGAAAAATCAAGAAAGCCCTGGACTTCATGAGAATCCAACACTTCGAGGTGCCCTTCATCTCCTTCTACAGAAAGGAGTACGTCCTCCCAGAGTTGAACATCAACGATCTCTGGAAGGTCTACAAGTACGACGCCAAATGGTGCCAGCTTCGTCAGCGTAAGGAGAACCTCCTGGCCTTATTCGAGAAGATGAGGAACCACCAGTTGGATCTGCTGATGAAGGATCCAGACGCACCACTCCCCGACTCCGTGCGTGTCATCAAGGACGAGGACATAGAGCGTTTGAAGAACGTGCAGACTAGTGAGGAATTGAACGATGTGCATCAGCACTTCATGCTGTACTACTCCCACGACATCCCAGCTATGCAGGAGTCTGCGAGACAAAAGGAGAAGGAGGCTAAGCGCCAGGCGAAGATTGCTGAGCGCAAGCAGAAGCTGCTGGAGGCCGAGGAGAACGGTGAGGATCCACCCCCAGAGGAGGAGATCGAGATCGAGGAGGAAGAGGAGAACGACGAGAACCTCAAGCACGCAGTTCGAACAGGCCCCTACGCCATCTGCAGAAAAGCAGGTCTGGACACTTTTGCCAAGAAGTTTGGACTGACCCCTGAAAACTTTGCTGAGAATCTCCGAGACAATTACCAGCGTCACGAGGTGGACCAGGAGCCCACAGAGCCACTGGTTGTGGCGCAGGACTTCGTTGGGCCGAAGTTCAAGTCCCCTGAGGAGGTCCTCAAGGCTGTCAAACTGATGGTGGCTATTCAGCTGGCTCGAGAGCCCTTGGTCAAGAAATCGGTCAGGGAGATGTACATGGAGAGGGCGAAGATCAGTGTCACACCCACCAAGATTGGAATCAAGATGATTGACGAAACTCATCCCATCTACACCATCAAGTACCTCAAGGACAAACCTGTTCGTGATCTGGTGGGTGATCAGTTCTTGAGGCTGGTGATGGCTGAGGAGGACAAGCTCATTACACTGACGATGAGCAACACCATCGAGGGAAATACCAGCAGTAATTACGTGGACGAGATGAAGCAGTTGTACATCAGGGATGAGTTCAGTAAAAACGTTCAGGACTGGAATAACCTTCGAGTTGGAAGTGTCGAGATGGCTCTGAACGAGATGGTGATACCAGCTCTGAAGAAGGAACTTCGTGCTAATCTCATTGCTGAAGCCAAGGAGTCAGTGATGAGGGCGTGCTGCAGGAAGATGTACAATTGGCTTAAAGTGGCTCCCTTCACGTGTTCATTTCCTGAAGAGGAGGACGACGAGTGGGACACGAGCAAGGGACTCAGAGTGATGGGAGTCTCGTACGTACCTGACTACTCCCAAGCAGCTTTCGCCTGTCTCATAGCCCCTGACGGTGAATGCACAGACTACCTTCGTCTCCCCCACCTTCTGAAACGCAAGAACAGTTTCAGGAAGGAGGAGAAGGTCATGAAGGAGGCAGACCTGCTAGCCATTCGTAATTTTATAGCTACGAAGAAGCCCCACGTTGTGGTCGTTGGTGGAGAGTCCAGGGAAGCTCTGATGGTTGTCAACGACATCAAGGAATGCATAACAGCTCTCGTCGAGGAGGAGCAGTTCCCAGCCATCAGTGTAGAAGTGGGGGACAACGATCTAGCCAAGATCTATGCCAACAGTAACAAGGGAACTGCTGAGTTCAGGGACTACCCTAGTCTTCTTCGAGAGGCTATATCTCTTGCTCGACGTCTTCAGGATCCACTCGTTGAATTCTCGCAATTGTGCACTGCTGACGATGAGATTCTCTGCCTTAAGTACCACAACCTCCAGGATCAACTGCCTAAAGAGGAACTATTGGAGAACATTTACCTGGAGTTTGTGAACAGAGTCAACGAAGTTGGTGTTGATGTCAACAAGGCAGTGCAGCAGGCGTACGCTGGCAATCTAGTGCAATTTGTCTGTGGTCTGGGCCCAAGGAAGGGCCAGGCTCTCATCAAAACGCTCAAGCAGACTAATCAACGGTTGGAGAACAGAACACAGTTGGTTACTGCCTGTCACATGGGGCCAAAGGTCTTCATAAACTGTGCTGGCTTCATCAAGATCGATACGAATAGTCTTGGGGACAGCACAGAAGCCTACGTGGAGGTACTGGACGGTTCGAGGGTCCACCCTGAGACGTACGAGTGGGCGAGGAAGATGGCGGTTGACGCACTGGAGTACGACGACGAGGACGCCAATCCTGCAGGGGCAGTTGACGAAATTCTCGAGTCCCCGGAGAGGCTAAAGGACCTCGATCTTGACGCATTCGCCGAGGAGCTGGAGAGACAGGGATTCGGCAACAAGTGTGTGACACTTTATGACATCAGGGCTGAGCTCAACTGCAGGTACAAGGACCTGAGGACACCGTATCAATCCCCAAGCCCTGAGAAGCTGTTCGATATTCTGACTAAGGAGACACCAGAGACTTTTTACATTGGAAAGAGGATCGAGGCGATAGTCACGGGAATCAGCAGGAGAAAACCCCAGGGGGAGCAGCTGGACCAGGCGAACCCAGTGAGGAATGACGAGACTGGACTCTGGCAGTGTCCCTTCTGCCTCAAGAATGACTTTCCAGAGTTGTCTGAGGTCTGGAATCATTTTGACGCTGGAGCTTGTCCTGGAAAAGCTACTGGGATCAAGCTGCGTCTTGACAATGGGATCTCTGGTTACATTCACATTAAGAATCTTTCTGATAAACATGTGGCGGATCCTGAGGAGCGAGTGGCCATGGGTCAGACGGTCAACTGCAGAGTCATTAAGATAGAAGTCGACAGGTTCAGTGTCGAGTGCACAAGCAAGAGCAGCGATCTCGCTGATAAGAATCACGAGTGGAGACCGCAGAAGGACCCCTTCTACGATAATGAAGCTGAACTGAAAGATATGAAGGTGGAGGATGAGACGAAGAAGGTCAAGCAGACTCAGACGTACGTGAAGCGTGTGATTGTCCATCCATCATTCCATAATATCAGTTATTCAGAGGCTGAGAAGCTCATGAGGACGATGAAGCAGGGGGAGGCCATCATAAGACCGAGCAGACAGGGGGCGGATCACTTGACAGTTACTTGGAAGGTAACTGACGACATCTATCAGCACATAGACGTCAAGGAGGAGGGTAAAGCGAACGAGTTCTCCCTGGGGAAGAGTCTGTGGATAGGGTCTGAAGAGTTTGAAGACTTGGATGAGATAATTGCGAGGCATGTGAACCCCATGGCAGCTTATGCTTCAGAACTACTGGACTTCAAGTATTATAAACCAGGGGTGAATGGGCTGAAGGACAAGGCTGAGGAGATTCTCAAGGCCCAGAAGAAGGAGAATCCTGGGGGAATTCCTTACATCGTGTCAGCAGTGAAGAAGTGTCCGGGGACTTTTCTCCTGTCTTATCTGCCTAGGGACAGGGTCGTTCATGAGTACGTCCAGGTCACTCCAGAGGGCTTCAAGTACAGGAGACAGATCTTTGGGCGGGTCAATGATCTCTTCAGGTGGTTCAAGGAGCACTTCAGGGAGCAAATACCTGGACAAAACACACCCAGCACTCCCAGGGGTGCCCAGACTTCCAGAACGCCTTATCACACGACTCCAGGGGTCGCCATGAACCAGGAGGCCATTCACAGGGTCGCCCAGAATCTTCCACACCATATGCTTCATTCGTTGTCTCAAGTGGCCAATCAGACTCCTCATTATCCTCCACACACTCCTGGAGCTGCTGGGGCTGCTTACGTCTATCCAAATACTCCGTACACACCTTCTGGACAGACTCCATACATGACGCCATATGCCACCCCTAGGAATCATCAGTTCACACAGCCAGCACCTCCTCATCGGTCCACTCCCTCGCACAGACCCACTCCCCAGATCTCTGCTGCTGCTCAAGAGGCCATGGACTGGAAAAAAGCTGCTGAAGCTTGGGCTAGGCTCAAGACCACTCCGAGGTACGATGGAAAAAGATCTAGAACACCCTCGAACAAGTCCCCCAGAACGCCACAGACTAATTCAAGCCCCAGGTCCATGTCTCTCAGTGGAGACTGCACACCTCTCTGGGACGAGAGCTAGGGAATTTAATCATAATTGTCGGAATCAATTTTTTGTTTCATTTCGAGTCGTCTTTCTCTGTTTAGGTTGTCTTATTTAGGTTTAGACAATGATTATATTTTGTATAATGAACGTGACATGATAATAAAAGTCATATTTAACGCGAACAGGTTAACATTGCTGGTCCTTATGGATTTTTATCTTATTTTTTGAGAATTGTTTCGTGTGAAACAATAGGCGCTTCCGTTGTCATTTTTTTTTAATAGAATGATGAAATACGTGAGTTAGATAGAGTATATTGGAGGTGTATTTTTTATTTTTAAACATGAAAAACTAAACACTAGAGATAATTGAAGAAATGTCTGCGAAATCTCATGCAAAACTTTGAACATGTTTTCTTTCATTTTCATTCTTTTCGACATTTGTAGCTGAATCCGAGCTTGGATCAAAGCTCAATTTCACACCAAGTTACCAGGTATTTTGACATGATTTTCTATTTTCAATTGTTGAGAAACATTTAAAAAACTCAAAGAATAAACTTTGAATTTTGAAATTACATTTTTCAATTCGTTTTAAATTCATCTACCTATATTTAGAATGTTCCCGGCAATCGATTCCATCACGGAAAAAATAAATTTCAGAACCATCGAAAAATTTTCCTTACTTATTATCGAGAAAAATGTTTTAAAAAAAATCAGGCTGCAAGATGTACTTTGGACGATGCTCATTAAGTTGTTTAAAACTTTCCTTGGATTATCACAAAAGTGTGAAATAAACGACAAATTCATTTGGACATCACTGTTATTCATATATTATCTCCAAAATGACAAAATATAGAAAATTACAATTTTATTGGCACATAGACACGAAAAGTACTGCTCAAATTCAAAACAATAATCAACTGAAATTCAAAGAATTACATGGTCGACAACTGGTCATCGGACAGCACATCATCACGATAAGGCACATTGATTCGATAAGTGCAGGTCAGTCCTGGAGTCTGTCCCTTCGAGTTCTCTGGACGACTGCCCCTGGTGTCTTCACGATTCCTCCCCCTGCTCTTCCCATCCTCCTTTCCTTTCCCAGGAGAGCTGCCCTCTCCCCTCCTTGCCCTCCTCCTCTTCACCCTCAGCTCCCTCTCCACTTCCTCGGGATCACTGGAATCATCCTTAACATCCCTCCGGAGTCGCCTCTTACTGGTGGATCTCAAGGGTTTCGTCACCTGTTCCAGCTCCACTGGACTCTTCTTCGATTTTCCTGCTCGATCCTCAGGTTTCGACAGGCCCTGCCCTCCCTCCTCCGTCTTCCCACTCTTGTCACCCTTCCTGACACTAGTATTGTTCAAGGCTGAACTGACAGACGTGTCCTTGGCACTAGTGTCTTTCCTCCTCGAGGAGTTCTGCGAGAGGTCCTTCCCACTCGTGTCTTTCCTGAATGACATCTCCATAGAGGAGGGAATCGAGGACTCCTGGGTGTTCCCCGGGCTGTAAACAGGGGTATTATCTTTCAGGGTGATCCTCTCCCCAGTCCAATAGCACAGAGGAGGCAGGATCCTCCTCCCCCTGGAGCTCGTTGGCACCCCAATCATGTCAATAGTCGCGTTGTGATCGGTCTCCCTCTTCTCAGGACTCACCTCCTCGATCAGTCTCCTCCACTTCTCACAGAAGTGATTGATCTTCCCAGGACATCCCTTCAGGCAAAGCTTCTGGATCTCCTTGGGCACTGTGTGCTTGGTATCGCAGAGTTCCCCCGTCAGCTGATAAAACTCGTGGCCCTCGGTCTCAATGACCTGTGGATTCACTCGTCTAAGGATGAAGTCTGTGGAGAACCTTCTGCACGCCACGTGTCCAGCTTCATTCAGCAGTTTTCCCTCGAAGATCAGTCCGCAATTACCTCCCACCTTCCTCACGAGCTTGGGAAACCACGCGGTGAGGACCTTTGGATTCGAGTCCGTTCCAAATTCCCCCTTTTTGGTAGAATCTTTAGTTAGTTTGGACTTTCTAGAGTCTTTGTCCTTCATGATATCCTCCAACTCCACTCGCAAATCCTTCTCCTCAACTTCTGCAGGAGTCAGTTTCACCAGATCCTGGGAAGAGTCCTTTTTCGATGGATTCTGATCCTTTCTCGATGTATTCTGGTCCTTATTGGAACCCTGGGAAGACGATTTCGTTAAGGCTTGAGGAAGTGTCACTGACACCGTCTCAACATCAATCACAACCGGTTTCTTCTTCTTCTCTGGAGGGGTTCTCTCCAATGGCACCGCCTCAATGTCTACTTTAACAGTCTCAGGACCGTCGTCATTGAGAGCAGGTTTCGAACTGTTCTGGTTCTCCTTGTTGTCACTGGGGTCCTCCCTCCTCGTCTCCTCTTTCCTCGTCTTCTCAGGAACAGTGGGAAGATCCCTCTGACAGTTTCCCTTCAGAAAATTTCGTTTTATGCAACCATCCGGGGACTTCAGAACCTTCGCATTGGCTTCCTGCAGAATCTGTCTCTTCGCTTCAGCCCTCTTCTGGGAATCATCCACAAGTTCCTCGTCAGTTATACTCACACTGGAATCGTAGTTATCAGGCTGGTAGCCCCGATTATTCAGGGGAGTTTTCTCCCTGGGCCTCAGGAGGTGAGGAGGCGGTTTCAAAGGTCTTCGTTCGTCCTCAGTCAAACTCATAGACGAGTCGTAGCTCATGACAGGTTGTCCAGGTGCTTTCGATGTTTTAGTCTTCTGAGATTTTTTCTCATTGACTTGAGGCGGTGAATACACGAATTTCTTCTTTGGGAAAGCCCCCTCGTCCTCACTCTCGCTGACCGTCAGCTCAGTATGTCTTCGACGCTTCTCGGTGGATCTCAGCTGATCCAGGGGCTTCTCCCGGAGTCTCAGAGGTAATTTCGGTCTTCTGTCGTCGTCAGAGGCCTCGTCGAGCCCATCAGAGCTGTCGTAATCGTCTTTCGAGAGTTTTCTTCTCACTGGAAGGTTTCGTTTTCGGTGATGAGGCTCGGGGGCCTCTGGGGGATTCGGCTTCTGAGGATTCTTCGAAACCTCCTGAGGATGGGGCACTGGATTATCTCGATGGATATACGTTTTTGAGGGTTGAGGCCCTTGGGGAAGAGGAACTTCAGCCGCATCGTCCGGCTGATACGACACGACGAATTTCAAACAGTCATACATCTCAATCATCTTGTCGATGTACTCAATCGAGCATTTTCTGCTCGTCAGATTCTCCAGGATTATTTTCAGTTTATCCTCCTGAATGATGTCCTTCAAAGACGGCATCCCCCGTTTTCCAACCGAGGATGGAGTCAGTGAAGCTGCTGAGCTGTTCATCTGCTGGGTTTTTATCTTTCCCACGAACTTGTCGATGGTATCGTTGGGCTCCTCTCGATCACAGCTCTTGGAGTTTGTTTCTTTCGAGCAACAGCAGCTCCTGTTCTCTGGTAATCTCTCAGGGACTGGTTCTCTGATGGAATTCAGACGTCTCCTGGGGCTCAACAATTTTTTATCCTCCTGTAATGCCTCGGTGGATCGATCTCGCTTGTCTCTGGTCGAGTTCAGTCGTTTTCTAGGGCTCAATGGATTATTCTCCCTCAAATTTTCTTCGGGAAATTCGTCTCGCCGGGATTTCATCGAAGCTGAGTGCTTTCTGGGGCTCGAACGGAGGATCTCAGGGTCTTTTTTTTCATCCCTAGCTGACGTCAAACGTCTTCTGGGCCTGCGAATCTCGGTGATGTCCGAGATCTCACTCTGCAGGTCGTCGTCACTGTCGGTGACTGGTGTGGGCCACCTGAAGCTCTCCCTGCTCCCACCAGCCACGAAATTACTCCAGACCTGGTAGACGTTCTCCCAGTCGTCGGGGAATCCGTTGTAGAATTTTCCTCTGATGTAGTCGGGGAGCTCGTGCCTCTCGTCGTAGATGTTGCCATGCAGGTGGTAGATGTGGTTGAAGACTGATTGCACTGAGACTGAGGAGAGCCTGCGGATCACTGGTTTGCTGCGAGCTACTCTCCCACACTCCAGGGTGCCCTTGATGATGAGCTGGCCCTTGTCGTTGAGAACTGGTCTCCATTTGGAGAAGATCCTGTCTGGCTTCACCTCAACTCCTGGTTGATGATCTCTGCAGTTCTCCTTTTCGAATTCTGTTGGGTAGAGGTCTTGCCCTGAGGAAGAGCATTTTATCGAGGAGATGACACTCTGGGCGGGGAATCCCTGCTCCGTTCCTGACCCACTCGTGGGGGCGAATTTTTGGGGCCCTGGACCTGCTAGGGAGTTCCTTCGGGACGAATGCGCCAGGATACCGATCGTCTTCGGTGGAGGCATCAGGACTCGCTCTTCTTGGGAGGGTTTTGTGGGGAATTGCTTGACACTGGAGGTCGTCATCCCCTGGGGGATTTTTGGGGGGTTTGAGCGACTCTGAATCATCTTGTGCATGTTACGGCTGGAGGCCAGGACGTCACTGCCTATTCGGGAGGAGTGCACGGAGAAACCCGCGCAGCTGGTGTCCAGGGGGTCAACGTTGATGCTGGAAACGCTCGGCCATGACGGGTCCGAGGGGTTGATGTCACAGGGCCTCTTTTGGAGCTGCATCTTCAGGAGCTTCACTGCTCGCTGCAGCTTCTTGTAACGCTCCTCCTGCTGGATGTTTTCGTAGGTGTTCTCCGAGGGGATCGACATCGCGGGGGGAGGGCCACGGGGGGAACAACCTGGGGAGGTAACGAGGGGTTAGCAGGACATATTGACGATCATTCGTGGAGTGTAATTTTTTTTATGACATTGTGGCACTACACTGAGAAAATAAATGCTTTGCCGAGTATTCATTTACTTGAGAGAAGTATTAATTTTTTTGATGACGTATTTCGCCAGTGGAGTCATTCCCAGGCCATCCTCAGTAGGTTTCAATTATGTCAATTGTATTGCTCTAGAACATGATCATGCTAGTTATGACCTCGAGTGAACTCCCTCAGTAATTACCAATATTGAAAAATTAATCGAAATTCTTCCTGCTAGAAAATAAGAAATTCAGGTAAAATTAATAATTGTGGAGAAGTTCGTTGGCAACAGTCATCCTCTAGAGCAACATGATTGTTGGAAATGAAACCTAATCAGACACACCTGAGAATGGCTCGATTGGAGAAATGCGATTTTGAAAAAATAAGTTCTTCTCTCAAGTAAATGAATATTTGGATAAAATTTTTTTTTTTCTCAGTGTATGACAATTTAATCAACGTCGTAATTATCTCCCTAATAGCCCCTGACTTTTTTAATGTTTTTTTTTATTTTACTGCATGGACTCTTGTGGAATTAGTTTTCACGTTGATAATTGTTCTACTAGGAGATTCGTGGTAAAAAATTTCAGAGCAAAACAGGGTGACTTCGTTGAAAAATTCTGTTAAGGGGAGACTACTATGAATTTTAAAAGTCACGGGCTATTGGAATGAGATTTCTCATACATTGAAGATCGATTATATATGTCTAAAAACGAATGATTAGTGCAAAAAGATTAAGTGTTTACTGTTCGTTTCCCCCGCAGACGTTTAAAATGTCAAGAATAGTCCAGGGGCTCCAATTTTTGAGCTACAAAATTGGTTTTTTGAAATTCAACTCCCTGGGTCTCCCCCTGCGCTATCCTCTGGACTTTGGATTTTGCTGTTTCATTTTGTGTTCAATTAATCCATTGACAAAATCTTCTCCCGTCAAAACTTCTCAATAATTTTTCATTCTACTGAATGGAAAATTATTATTCTCATTAGTACTCTCAGGAATAAAGAAAAGTTAATAAACAAAAGTTCGGCATTTTCCTTGTTTTTGGAAGACAATTCTAACCTCAAAAAAAATGTTTGGGACTATGGGAGATATTGTTCAATAATTCCGTTCCATCATGACGATTTTATTTAATAGAGAAATAAAACTAGAATAATTACAATAAATCTAAGAATACTTACATCAAAATACCCTTTTTCCGACTGAATAGTTATTTGTTATGACTCTCCAATCGTTTTTATTACGCTATTCTGACGGGTTCGGACACCGGAGAAACGGCGGGAAAACAGAGTAATATCAAGCATTCGGCGGTTTCCGTGACGAAAAACCGAATGAATCGAAACGACTGCGATTAGAGGGGGTCGTTGAAATTGTATTACAAACGACCCCCACTCCCCCCGGAAGGGGGGGTGTGGCGGTGGTGGAATGCTTGCGAACAGTCCCTAATCACATGGCCAGTGTCTGGGGAATTTCTGGGGGACGTGGGCTGTCACCTTGGCAACAGTGGTTCCAACTGTTTTTTCATTCGTCGGTTTGCACATTTTCAAATGTTTGGCCGTTGCGAGATGCCAGAGGAAAGCCACTGAAGGGTTGGAGGTGCCAGGACTGTTGTTTTACGGTGTTTGTATTCGCAGTTTTAATTGATCATTTGCTTGGAGATATCAAACGACGATGGATCGACGGGACAAGTGGAAGTCCAAGCCTCGAAATTTTGAGAGCGAGGAGGCAAGAATCCTTCGCGTTGATCAACATCAGGCTCGTCGTCAAACCAAGAAGGAGGAACAACTCAATCGGCTGAGACAGGTTTCACCAGCTCAGGATGACGAAGGTGAGTTTTAATAGAAAATGTCAAGTTAAATGAATCCTGCTCACTGATCTGTATCTCGGGACCAAACGATGCGATTTTTGTTAATTAAATTTCATTTGAGATTGAAAAAATATCTTCAGAATTACGAAAATATCGTTGTATTTTACTGCTCATCTTGAGTTATTGGCGGTTGAAGACCAGATGTCGTAGCCCCTTCTGATCTGCATAAAAACAATGAATTCAAATCACCTTTTCTCATCAATTTCACTGAATTCTGTGCAACAACCCCAGAATGCATCGATGGGGAGGGTTGAGGATGATTTAATGTGGTGGTGAATGGAGCAAAACGAACCGTATTTAACCGTCATTGATTGGAGAACGACAGAGTGAAATTTCGCGTTTTTTTTTTAATTTTCAAGGCATTTTTTTGAACTTGAAATGAGACCTGATTCAGAAACCGAGGAGGATGGGGTAAAATGGACACATTTGTGTTTTTTAAATGTAGATGACGGCTTGAATTGTTCATGAAATTTTTTTTTGTCAAGGATAAGAACAATTCATTCTCTTTGTGATGGGGCTAAAATGATCTCAATTAATGAATCTGTTTCTGAGTTATAAATATTTTTTGAGAAGTGAAGTGTCCATTTTGCCCCACTCTCCCCTATTGGAGATGGTCCATTTTACCCCACTCTCAGTGCCCTAAATGGCGGAAATTTTAAAAAAGTGGGCGCAGAATGTTGACGGATATCCAGGGACTGGGACATTTTTTTAACATCTCATCCAGTGCTTGGAGATGAACATCATAGCTTTTGTAAGCTATTGGAATTCTCAAATACTTTTGAATATAAGTGCACACCCTTGCGATAGGATCTACGAGTAAAATAATCTTGTACACCAGTCTCATTCTGGAGCTCTTTGGAGTAACACCGAATAAATCAGTTCTCTGTCTAAGTCCTCTATTATTTACTCATCCCGATGCTACTTTACAACTTTCATTCAAGTCCATTTAAATACTGCATTGCTGAACATGTTGCAATGATTTTATTACTCCAACTCTTTGAAGTTTGGACTTGATTTTCAGCTCCGAATCGTTGAAAAAGATTTTGTTCAATTAATTAAATGACTATGTAAAAAAAATTAATTTAATTGGGAATTCGCAAGAATAAATTATTCTAGTCGAAACTGATTTTAGTGTTTGATGAATATTTCTAGATTTATTGGAGATATTGATGTTTCTGTAGAAACCTCTTATGTAGACCTCTTATGTAATCTCTTATGTAGATTAATGGGAGCGACCAAAAAGATCGTGACAAAAGAAATTTGAAATCTCCATTAGATTCAAAGATATTCTAAAAAAATGAATTTTAAAAAGAAATAGAATGAAAAATAGTAGGAATATGCAAGGGAAAACACTCCAAAACACTTCTAGATGAAAATTTCCCCATGTCCATTGGATTCAAAGATATTTTCTGAAAAAAGGGTGTAAAGAGAAAAATTTGGCTCTAATTTCATAGGAAGATTCATAAATAAATTAGAAAGTGTCCATTACTGCAAACAAAAACCATTTCTATAAATAATTGTGAAGGATTCATTGTACACTTCAGAAATAATTTCAACTTCGTAATCAACTTATTTACTTCATTTATTCATTTTTATCTCTTTTTATTTTGGACTTATATCCAAAATTTTTCTACAAATTTCCATAAAAAAACAAATCACCGAATCACTTCTCGAAAAATCCAAACACCCCCGAAAATAAAAACCTCCCCCTTGAAAATTTTCAGAAGAGTTCGAGGACACCCCAGAGGACCGAGCAATTCGCCTAGTGAAATGGAAGGCAGAAAGAGACCTAAAGAAGAAGCTAGAAGCAAAGAACAAGCGTCCAGCCTTCGTGATCGGCGTTCCCCACCACAACTTCTTCTCGCCAGTCTCCAAAGACCCCCCGAAACCCCACTGCCACAAGAAGCCAAAGGGCTCCTCTCCCCCAAAGCGAGTAACAGCTGTAACAGCTCGTCGTCTCGCCGCCAAGCAAGCGGTGAAAGCCACCACATCAGGACCATCGAGTGCCTCCCAGCCCAGCACCAGCACCGGAGCCACTAGAATCCGTCCCCCCAAGACTCCAATGACACCTCGCCTCACCAGAAGTCGTAAGAAAGCCCTGGAAGTTGAGAAAAAGCCTGAAAAGAAGCCCATAAAAAAGGAGTCCCTGGCCCCAGAAAACTACGAGTTCAAGGGCCCAACGTTCGCTGAGCCTATTCCCCTCTTCGGAGCAGTAATCGTTCCAGGCGTGGACACCAACCTGACCTTCACCCTGACCGACAATTTCAAGACGATAAAAGCTGAAAAGACTCCAATAGACACATTGACAGAGAACAATGGAGAGACTCCTCTGGAGTCATCACAACCTCCAAAGGAATTTCCCAAAAAACATTCCCCAGAGAAAAAAACAGCCAAAAAGCCGTCTCCAGAGAAGAGAACTCCCAGAGAAATTTCCCCAAAGAAGAAAACTCTGAAAAAAACATCCCCAGAGAAGCTGCCCCCCCGAAACTCAGAATCTATCACAAGACAGGAGTCATCCCAGCCCTGTGACTCCAGCATCGAGAGTGTGATCCTGCGGATGTCCTCCCAGTTCGAGCCCCTGAAGCCTGCCGAAGACATCACCGAGGAGAAGGAGAATGTGAACATGAACTTGGACCCTGACCCCTCCAGGCTCCTGGATCCCGTACCAGCCCAGTTCTCCCCCTTCATCGTCACGAGTCGAGGGAAAAGCAGTGCCCGAAAAGAACAGAAACAACGTCTGAGTCTCCACAAATCCTCCCCCAAGGACGACATCCCCACGAAGGACTCAGTGATGCAGAATTTGAGTATCTCAGTAGAAGAGGAGAAGAACACATCACAGTACTACAAGCACCTGGTGGAATCTGAGGAAGCGAGATTGAAGGACCTCTGCTCGACGTGGAAGCCCCTCCAGGAGGACCCATCCACCCCAGAGGACGGTGTCTACATGATAAATCAGGCAATCGGTCAGACCAACTTGTTGATAAGAAAGAAATTCGAGAGATTCAAGACTTTAGTAAACGACTGTGAGACTGGTATGGGTGAGCAATTGGTGAGATGTGCAGATCTGCAGGGCTTCTGGGAGATGATGCAGATGGAGATCATAAACTGCAACTCTCGATTTACGAAGCTCGAGGAGATCAGGGGGAAGGGGTGGCAGGAGGACGATGAGGTTGTGGTGCGGAAAAAGGCAGTCCAGAAGAAGAAGTCAGTGGTGAAGAAGAAGGTGGAAGGAAGGAGTAACATGAGAGCGTTCATAGAGGCCCAGAGGAAGAAGAAGATGGCCCCTGAGGGGGCTGTGGAGGAGGAGAACCCAGAGGTGAAGGAGCCACAAGTAGATCCAAAACCTTCAACTACTCCCAGAAAGAGTCTGCCAATGCCAGTGTCTCCCCACAGCAGAGCCAAGGTCACCCCACGTGGGGAGAGACTGAGCCTCTTGAAGCTGGTGCAGCTGACGGAGAGCGCCAAGAGGATGACCCAGAACTCCTTTGCAATGGTTAAAGTCAGCCAGAAATGCAAAACCCCAGAGGTGGAGCACGATCGCTCAATCTCGTACATAAACTCTGGCCAAACCCCTGGGAAGGGGATCCTTAAGAAGACTGAGGATGCACCAAAGAACGAGGGAAAACTCCCCAAACCCACGTACAAAGTCAACTTCAATGACACTGTTCAACTGACTGAGGTACCCGAGGATGAGGTCGATGAGGACGAGGAGAATAGACGTAGTCTAGCTGCTAGTCTTGCGAGAATCGAGAATCTGGACTTCGGGCATGACGATGAGGTCTGTGTCAACAAGAAACTGGAGTTTGATGATGATGATGATGAGGATGAGGATGAGAATGATCTCGAGGGGAATATTGAGCCCTCTGGGTCTGAACCGGGGGCTCCTGAGGGTGCCATTGAGATGGACGAGGGTCTTGGGATGGATACAAGTGCCTCATCTTCTCCAATTATTCAGATCAGTTCGGCATCACCTCCTGTCACGCTGATGCCTCCACCGACGAAAATCAAAACCCCGAAGAGGAGGAAATCTACGAAGACTGAGGACTTCCCAGTGGCCCCAATCATCAAGATCACTGAGGCAACGCCTATTCCGCAGCCTCCAGGGAGTCCTGAGTCGATGCCTTCGCCTGCAGACGTCAAGATCAGGAAGAGGGGAAAATCACGAAATAGTGGGAGAGCTTCTCTTGGCGGTAAAGTCATAGGGATTGCTGAGTCGACACCATCTCCAGCGACTCCGGGAAGCCCCACGAAACGACGAAGTGCCTTATTGGAGTTTGAAGAGATTGGACCAAGTCCAGTGGTCGTAGAGAGGAAGCCCAGGAGCAGACGCACTGAAGAACCGAAGAGTGAAATTCCAATTGTTGACATTACAACTCCTCAGAGTCCTAAGAAGAGGGGAAGGGGAAGGAGTATGAGTGTTGTGGAGCTGGCGTCACCCTCTGGCAGTGGAGAGAGGAAATATCTTGAGAAAAATGTGGATAGTCCACTCTCCGAGACGATTTCCACGCCGAAAACCCCGAGGAAGGGGAGGAAGAAGAGCGGCATCTCCTCGGAGACGGAAAAAACCTCGGGAAGTACACCTGTGAGACAACTTCGGAGTCGATCTGTCCTGGTCGACAACGTCACGTACAGAAAGCGCAGGACCTCCAAGCACGAGATGAATGGGGAGTCGATTCCTGCTGAGGAGGTGAATCATCACCACATGTCTGATAACAATGGGAACAAGGAGAACTGCTCTGGGATGGAGAACGTTACGTTTCAGAGCCCCAAGACACCCAAGGTGGTCGTCAGTCTGGATACATCGAGTGTGAGGAGGTCTGCTCGCAAGAGTGTTCGATTCGTGCCTGAGGAGGATTGCACCACTTGCAAACCTGTGCCTCTTACTCCCAGGAGCTTGAAGAATAGGGTGAGCTTCTTTGGCAATCCCGATGTTGTCTCCCAACCACTGCCCAATGGAGATTTAATGGCTTTTGATTCACCCAAAACTCGTGAGTTGTAATTTGAGTAATTTGTTAACTTGTTTCTTCGATTTATTGTGATTCATTGATTATCGTTAATATTGATGATTAATAAGGAGTGGAATAGGAAACTTGCATGAAGCTCAATTCTTTCTATTTCCCCTATTCTCACATTCCTCGTAACTTATGGATAGCTAAACAGCGAAAATTGTAGAGAAAGATTGCCTAGACGTCTTAGGATAATTAATTGAAAATCACTCGTTTTCGAGGCCGATTTTTCGGTCATGAGGTCACGAAGACGGTCAGGTAACGCTTTATTGTTAAAAAAAGCAGAGACTGGGGAGTTAATTAATGAGCAATATTTCAAACGTTCATGAATGAAAAATTAATTATTCAAATCCCAAACGTGAGATTAGAAAATTGAAAAAAAAATCATGCAAATTCCCCATTCATGAATTATATTTCGTGTCTTGCGTGAAATTCTTTTATTACTCGAGGGAATTTAATGAAAAATGGTAGACTTGCATTTTTGTGTTATTTTGATAAATAATGAACAATTTAGAAGTTACAGGCGATTGAAAATATGTGCCATATGAAATCATACTAGAATTAGATTTTTCATGATTCAAAAAATCAATGTTTAATGTCTCAATCTCATTAAAAAAATTTAATAGTGAAAAATAAAATTCATACAACAATCCAATTGATGCAATTGCTGTAATTAATGCTCTTATTTTATGTTACAGCTCGTGCAAGAATCAGGAGGTCCAGTACGAAGTAATTATGGGGGAGTAATAACATAAATAAATTGTACGCTTTTTTAACCTTCTACAATTATTAAAAATCTAATTTTCTAAGTAAACTATGCGTAAGTACAAATAGTAAAGGCTACGGTTCTATTATCCTAATTTTTATAAAAAATGAGCCGACATGTATAAGTACGAAGCAGAGGAGCAATTTATCGCAATTTAATTAACCGAACTGGCATGTACCGAACTACTGCGAAAACTGAATAAAATTTTAATTGTACTTTTATCAATTATCTCAATCGTTCCCAAAAAACAAGCCACAACTTCAAAATTTCCTTTCCCCAATTTCCCCATAAATTATTTGTAAAGACATTTTCAAACGTTTTGAAAGTCAAATCCTCTTGAAAAAAACTGGAAAAATATTTTAAAATGTCTTCAAATGTTGTCCATCCGGCCTCACCCCGCGATTGGCTGTCATTCAAATTCGAAGATGGCGGACGTCGAATCATAACCCTCAAACCCCAACAACAGCTAAAAAACACTTCAGGCACTCCAGGCATGAGCACTGACCTTAAAAGAACGTTGTCCAGTGAGTTGTTGACTAAAGAATGTTATTAGTGTGACAAATCCCGATAAAATGAAGGAAATAGTGGCTCCACAGCAGTCTAATCACTCCCTGACGAATCATTTTGCGACGAACAACGGTAATCCAAGTGGAAACAGTGTGACAAATGGAAATAATCAGAGAAGATATGCTGTCCTCAGCACCGAGTGGATATCAACAATCGGTGAGGAGTTGGGAATGCACCCACTGCCTGATTCTGTCCTGAAGAGGCTAGCTGAGGACGCCTCGTATCGCCTCAGGGAGGTCCTCCACAAGTGTGTGACGAGACTGAGGCACAGCAAGAGGAGACGACTGACCTCAACAGACGTCAACTCAGTGATAACCAATCTCTGTGATGGTGATCCAGTCCTGGGGGTGCCAGATCAAATGCCAAGTTATCACTCTGAGGCCAAAGTCTTCGTTCCCCACGAGAACTTCATCGACCTGACGAGCAAATCCATCAATCCCATCAGTCTGTCCCAGCCTGGGGCTCCTTACCTCCAGGAAACCGAGATCTGTGATGCCAAATTGACGGAGACCAGGCACAGCTATGCCAAGAGAGCACTGAAGACCATTTTCAATGGATCGCAGAAGACTTTTCAAGTTCTGTTGAACGACTGCTCGACTAATGCACAATTGGGGGGCGAAGGGATCATTGATACTTTGATATCGACTGCTAGGTCAACCGTCATCTCGAATAATGCTCAGTATACTAGGGTTACCACCAGGACTTGTCAATTGATCATTGCTATTGCTTGTAATAGTGAGGCTGTTTATCCTTATCATTTGTCTTCGGTAAGTTTATCGGTGATGAGATACTTTGGAGTTTGGAATGTGAGCCAAAGGGTACACTGATCTTTTCTAAGAATATTTCAAAGTCAGAATTGATTGTCAAAGTTGACTTTAAAAAAAGACTGCGATGAAGTGGACTTCTTCGACTTTTCTACGCCTATTTCTCATTCAAAAATGGATCTCTTGAGTGGGAAAGCTACAGAGGAGATAGAGTATTTTGCATAAAATTGGCTTATTTTATAAAAAATTTCATGAGTTATTGACGTTTGAACAAAGAAAAGTCAAAGTTGATTGAAACAAAGGGAGAGTGAGGCAAAGTCAAAACTTGGGACTTTCTAAGAACATTATCTCACTCTGGATTTAGTCTGTTTATTGAGCCCAGTGTAGATTTTTTTGAAAATGAAGAAGTGGTCTTTGCATAGAAGATATTCGCTCATTTCATTAGTAATTCCGTAAGTTATTAACATTAGAACAAGTTAAAGTCGATTGAACCAAAAGGAGAGTGAAGAAAAATTAATACTTTACTTTTGATTTTACTGGAAATCTTCGTAACTCGGAATTGAATTTATTGATTGAGCTCAGTCTACATTCAGTCCGAAGGAGGAAGAGTGCTTTGCATTTGAAAAATTGTCTGAATTAATTAGACGTTAGACGAAAATCCAAAAGCTCTCGTTTTGTCTCACTTCCCCAACATTGAACAATTATTTAAATATTTGATATGGAAATGTTTTCTTTGTGCTTTTAGGTAGAAAAATTGACTGAATTATTATTGGAATTGCTCCTCGGCTCTAGCTTTATAAACCCCCACGTCGAGTCATTATTCAAAACTTGTGCACTAAAGTTGATGCTGAGATGGCCCTCGGTAGCAGATAAATTCACTCCAATGTTGGAGGATGTGTTCGTGAAAGAGGAAAGAGGGAGTGCAGCCACTGATAAAAAAAGACTGACTGCTATGGAGCTGCTGGCTGGTGTCCAGCCTCTCACGTTCTTCCAGCAGGCCCCTGGAGGTCTTTTGTCTTTAGATAATGTTGTTAAATGTGCACCTTCTGGGTCAGCCCTTTGGGAACAATTAGCCGTATGTATTTACCTTTTTTTAATTTAAATAAAACCTGGATCTTTTGATAACTTGATTCATTTTGTATTTTCCAAGGGAATGATATTTTTTTTGAAGATATTTCACACCTTGAATTCCACATTTTGGGATTTTCTATTCAAGACTATTTTACTTTTCATTCAAAAATAAAATATTGTTTGCATCCGAATGGAAGCAACTCATTATGATCGAAAAAGTCCGAAAATGTAGATCCGTGGGATTTAATAGACAGGTTTTAAAAAGAGAGAGAAGAATGTAGGCATGATAGAATGCAATTGCTACCAATATATTAATAATAATCGCATATTGCTAATTTATTAGCAAAAATAACAAATAATTTCCCACTTTTTTCGCTTTATATGAGTCAAATATTATTTTTCAGTTGTCTGTTTGTGCCTTCATGAAGTCAAGACAGCAGGGTCTCGATTTGTCACCCCTAATTGATCATTTTGGAGACTCAATACTGCCTTATTTCAATAAACAACAAAATAGAACGGAGGAGAATCAGGAGAATCGATCGCCTGTGGTTCTTCCAATAATAGTTAGGAGTAAAATAAAATATGCAAATATTAGACAGAGTTTGAAAAGCATTGGAGACAGACAAGTGACCTTTCCAGACTCGATATTACGAGGACCAAGAAGAGAAATTAGGTAAAAAACTCTCCAATAACACCAACTATTAAATCAACTAATCCACTAATCGAGGAAGTCCATGATTAATTCGTCTGTTTCATCATTTCTACTGAATACTCCCTCATTCCTCCAGGTTTGCCTTTGCTGGTGGTCGTCCAGTTCCTCCAAACAATTTACGACGAGTTAGTTTACGTGCCAGTTACCAAATACTCCGGAGTGATATGCGTGCAACAACTGCACTTGTTGCCTGCAGAAGGCTCCTCATACTCAAGGACAAAAAAAAGAACTTCAGAGGCTCGTACAACCTAGCTAATATTCATCTTTAAATGTTATTCATTAATTATTTATGTTTTTCATTGAGTGTAAATGGGAGGATATTCATGCATTCCTCAAGCCTCTGAATCTTCAACTTTGTTGGGAAATTTTTCTCCAGAATATTTAATTGTGAGGACATTCATTCATTGTTGGAAAGAAAATTAAAACGAGAAAGTTGATGGTAAAAATTTTATTTCATTTTTAGGATTTTTACTTTCATTTTGAAAATAATTCAATGTGGAGAAATTGACGTATTGAATAACTTATAATAGTACAAACATTTTTTTTACATTAAAATACTGAGCCAGCGTCCCAAAGCGGGTCATTTCATTATTCTAAATACAATCGCCTTTATTTTTCAATTATTCAATTCTCAAATCTATTTATTAATACTTATTTCTAATTAGAGACAATCCTGAAGACCACTCGGTAATTCAGATCGAGGGAGAAAGTGAGAGTTCACGAGACAGGTTTTCTTGATGTGAAACCTCAGGGGTGCCTATAAAAAGAAAACATCAGAATGAACAATTAATTCAAACGAAAAATTTTTGTATAGAAATGCTTCGCCATGAATTTTCAGAGTTCTTTGCCGTATTTTTTAAAATGTTTCCTCCAAACATTTATCAAACATTGAATTAATTGTTCATTTCGATGTTTTATAAATGAACAATTAATTAAAATCTTTGACAAATGTTTTGAAACAAACAAAAAACAATACGTTGTTCATTTGTAAAACATCAAAATGAACAATGAATTCAACCAAAAAATTATTCAACCCCTTTACCTCAGCAAGTGGACGTTTGCTCGGCACCCTGTTTCTATAAAACAATCTCGTGCCCCCATCAATACAGATAAAAAGCAGCCTTCGATAAACAGTTAAAAACAGGTGCTGTCTCACTTCGTCCGAACCTAACGAATTTCCCGTTTTTTATGGGGCTCTCAATTCCGCCCTCTCCTTGACCCTCCGTAGAATCTCCATCATTATCATCATGACAGACATGAATTTTAATTATTATGAATTGAATTTGATCCATTTCTTATTCATTATTTCGCTGAGAGATATTCCTCCACAATTTAAGAAAGTTCTCGGTCATCACTTCATGTAATTTTTAGCATCTTCACTTTCATGTTATTATTGTTGATCGTCCCAACGAGTTCATGTACAACAATTGACATATCTAATAATTTACAATAATTCTAACAATTTTTTAAATTAAAATACTGACGCCAGCGTCCCAAAGCTGCTCATTTCATTATTCTAAATTCAATCGCCCCCATTTTTAAATTTTCCAATTCTCAAACCTATCAATTAATATTTATCTCTAATTAGAGACAATCCTGGAGACCCCTCGGTAATTCAGATCGAGGGAGAAAGTGAGAGTTCACGAGGCATGTTTTCTTGATGTGAAACCTCAGTGGTGCCTGTAAAAAAGACATCAAAATGAAAAATTAATTCAATCAATTTATTCGAATTAATTATTGATTTTAATGTTTTATAAGTGAACGATTAATTAAAATCTTCGATAAATATTTTGAAAGCACAAATACAAAACCGTTATTCATCAATAAAACATCAAAATAAACACTGAATTCAACCAAAAAATTATGGAACCCCTTTACCTCAGCAAGTCGACGTTTGCTCAGCACCCTGTCTCTGTAAAACAATCTCGTGCCCCCATCAATACAGATAACACTCGACCCATCATTGCTCCAAGCAGCCTTCGATAAACAGTTAAAACCAGGCGCTACCTCACTTCGTCCAAACCTAACGTATTTCCCATCCTTCCTGGGGCTCTCAATTCCGTCCTCCCCTCCACCTCCACCACCGCCGACCCCACCAGCAGGTGGAGAGACGTTCTCCAGCCACTCAGCCACATAACGATCCTTCGCCCTCCCCCCAGAGCCCCCCAGATCCCCATTCACCTGCTGTTCGACGGAATCAGCCTGCATCCCTGAAGAATTCTTCAGCACTCTAGTAGCCATCGGACTCATGAGATCAACAATATGATCATTCAGCGCGATCTGCGGTATGAACCCGACCTTCTCAACATTATTATTGACCTCAGTATCGCAAACCGACATCGACCCTTCGCCACTCGATTTTTCCTCTGCAAAGACATCATCATCATCCTCTTCAAACGGATTCAAAGAGGGTCTCGTAACGATTATCGCAGGCTTCACGAGGACTTCCCCAGGCCTCTCCCCGCCGCGATTCCTCCTCGATCTGTGCTTCAGCCAGAAATCCTCGATCTTCCTGGCACAAGCACACCTATACTCCTTCCTGTACCTCTCGAGCTCGAAGAACAGCGCCTCAGTCATGAAAATCCTCTTCATCCCCAAGTGCATGAGCTCCGCGATGTTCTCCGACCCCACGATATCCCCCAAGGCCCCTTCAAACTGTCCCTTAAAATCCCCGGAAATCACCGGCAGATAATACCTCTTCGAGAACTCCTCGTAGCTCAGACGAATGGGAAATTTGCATTTGGCGAGAGGTAGTGCGTCAATAATCCCCGAGGAGATGAGCTGCTCCCTGAAGTCCTCCCTCTCCCAATCCCCCGAGCGTCTGGGTCTCACACACCTGACGTAATGAGTGTCGCACTTGTTGAGCTCCTGCATCAGGGAGTCCATGCTGCTCTTCAATTTCGACAGAGTCGTGCACTTCTTGGCAGCCACCCTCCCATTATCGTTGAAGATGTCCTCAGGGACGTTCGTCACTGCCTTCAGGAGGGAATTGTCAGTCTGATAGAAAGTGGTGGACAGCTCCACCGGGACTTTATCATTGTTCTTCTCGAGGAGATCGTGGATGTTGTACTGAACGGGACAGGAGTAGTGGGTGATGACGAAGGTCTGGGATTGGACAGCGAGGAAGTCCCTGGCATTGGACTGCCTCATGAGGAGTTGTTGGGAGACTGTGGGGGGACTGGAGGGGATCGGGGTCTGACAGGCGTCGTTCATCGTCGTGAAGAGACTCTGCTCGATCACTCCCAAGCGGTTTCTGTAGATGGTCATGGTCGGGGGCGGGGGGAGGACTCTCAGGCCCTCCTCCTCGAGCTCCCTCTGGCCGCTCTCCAGGTAGTTCTCCATGAAGTAGAGTTGGAGGCGTTCGGTGGAGTAGTTTATGCAGAGCTGCTCGATTCCGTTGGTCTCGAAGGACTCGAAACCGAAGATGTCGAGGATTCCGAGCCAGTGGTGATTGTCACCTTTGGCTGAGATGATCTCGTTGATGCGGTCGACGAGGGAGTGGAAGAGTCTGTCGTAGATGCAGCGGATTATGCTGAAGAGACGGTGACGACAGGCCTCGGTGGTTCGCAAGACTCTTCGGTACATCGTGTGACGTCTTCTGGTGCTTCTGGGGCAGATCAGGGTGGTTGTGAGGAGCTCGTCGAGCTCGTGCTCTTGGAGGGAGGAGAGTCTGCAGGCGTTGGTGATGGCCTTTTGGGAGTGATCGTCTGTCGTGTCCAGGGCGCAGTTCTCCGGGGAGGCTTCACGAAATTTTATGTTCCCCAGGTGGAGGAGGAGCGCGAGGATTTGGAAGATCTCGGCTTTGAGGGTTTGGGTGAAGCCTAAGGTCTCCATCGCTTGAGCTGTGGAGGCGAAGGCTTCGTGGTACTTGAGGGGCTGCGGCGGGTGACTCTCCCCGAGGATTACGTAGTTGTCCCGCCGGGAGAGGCCTAGCGCGGAGAGCTCCTCGGGGGAGAGGCCAGACATTATCTAGGGGAATCGAGGAGTGATTAGGATTTTAGTAAGAGGTACGTTCCAGGGCTTTGAATGGGAGAGCGGAGTTTTTGATGACCTGGATTTACGGATGGCAAGTGAATGCAAGGCTGTGACGAGGTTTTCTTGAAATTGTTTCTGCGGAAATGCTTCGACATGAATTTTCAGAATTTTTTCCATCGCATTTTTCTTATGTTTATCGGTACAAAATTGAAGGATTTTTTTTGTAACTGCAAAAGCAAGAATTCTTATGGGTAAGAATCTAGCCCTACGGAATTGGTTGTATCGAATATGAATGTCTATTCAGTTCGTTCTTTCAAATACTGTATTGAAACACAAGAGCATTACAAGAAATTTAACAGGATTTCGTAGAATTTCGGAGGTGTGCCGTTTCGAAAAGTGAACTCGGTAGGTAGCACAAAAAATAGGATGTGTTACACGTGCGTGCGAAAAAGTGGAATGTTATGCACTAGTAACATAATAGTGCATTTCGACATGAGGCTGAAAAAAACTTTTCTGGCGAATATGAGGATGCAGCCCGAGCCGAAGGCGAGGGGTCCACTCATATGAATAATACCATAATATTTTTTGCATATGAATATGAATAACATGAATATGAACATGAATCGTATTTTTTCTCATAACGGTCGCAATGACAAAAAGTGTTTTTTGCTACCCTCCCGCGGGTCAAATAACACTTTTCCCACGAGTGTCGAACCCCATTTTTCATCACAATGTGTGACAAGTGGAATTTTGCGCATGCGGAGGCGTGCGTAAAATGTCACTTTACGCACAAGTGATAAAATATGCTATTTTGAGTAAACGTTAGGTTTTTTTATCGATTTTTTTCATTCGTCCGTTAAGGGAAACACAATGCCGCTGATTTTCCAATTTCTTGAACAAATTTCCTGGTGAAAGTTATCGATATTTTTACAAATCCAAGCACATTAATCTTCAGAAAGCGATAATGAAGATCAATGTGCTTTGGGGTAAAAAAATATTAATAACTTTGAGCAGGAAATTTGTTTGAAAATTTCGAGGAAACGGTAGCCTTCTTTTACCCCTTAATGGTGATGTTTTTTCTACTTGAATGCTCTTGAAATGTTCCACCAAACGCCGTTATACCTGATAAAAAATCTCGAAATTATCCGCATTCCGAGTGACTCTCGTCCTCTCAAGCAGAAACGAGTGCACGCAGGCTCCCCTGATGGCCCCTTCCTTGTACTGAAGCTGAACAAGCTGTCCATGTCTCGAACTGCTTGGATTTCGCTCTGTACTCGCTGTACTGAAGGCAGCAATCAACGGACAAACATTACCGATCTCATGTGCAATGCTGTCGACCCCATCCGGGAACTTCAATTTGGCTGCGTTCTTGTCGATCCCCGCGAGGAAGTCGAGGATCTGTCGAGAGTTGAAGGTCTTCCCCGTTCCACTCTCTCCACTGATGACAATCACCTGGGATGTTCGCCCCAGGCCCTGGACCAGTCTGTAACGCGCGCGATTCGCAATAGCGTAGACGTGAGGGGGTGCGTTACGGAGGACCATGTCCATGTCTTTGGAGAACTGGTTTTTGTGGGATTCATCGTAGAGATCCTTCAGGATTTCGTTTCCGGGGTTTACAGCCAGCAGGAGGGGACCCACCCAAGTGTAAATCTGACCGCGCTCGAGCCGATGGAGCAAGAAGTCAACGGCTGGAGAGTAAGAATTGATGTCCAATTTTTTAAATTCATTTCGTGTGTTTAATGATTCGGGAATTACTGGGCCATTAGAAAACACTATAAGACTTTTTTACATTGCGAGAAAACAAGTGGATAATTGCATTTTTTATAAATGAGTATAGCTATTGTTATTAATAAATTAGCAATTTGGCTCAGTCACGCTTTTGCATTCTTTTTTGCGAATGCATTCTCCCTTTTTTTAAATTTTATTTCACTGTTCTTTTCTTCCGCTTTTTCGTGTCATAGTACAATCATGAATTGAAATGACAACATTCAGTAGAAAAACTTAGCGAATTCGCAAGAAAATTCAACTGGAATTCTGTAGAAATTCTAGGGAAATTTCAATAAGAAGGAAAAAAGCCAATAGATTTCGATTTTTTTATGGGAATATTCTCTTGGAATTTTTTCTATAAAAATACTTGGGCATGAATTTTCTAATTTTTTTTCACTCGGATCCTGTAATGCAAAACAAAACAAAATTAAGGGGAAAAAACTTGGAAAATTCGTGCCCAATAATTTTAATCGAAAAAATCTCAAGAAAAAAATTCAAACAGAAAAATCTAAATCTATTGACTTTTCCTATCGAATATCTAATAGAATCTCCGCAAAAAACAAATAGAATTTAAACGAGAATTCCCTGGAATTTTAATAGAGTCCCCATAGAATTTCTAAAGAATTTCAATAGAATTTTCTAACGAATTCGAAAGGTTTTTCTATTAAATTTTTTCGTGCGTGTATTGAATTATTACTATCTTGAGAATATGTGATCTAAAGAGAAAATGACAAAAAGGTAGCATATGCCACAGGAATATGCCTCTATTTAGCTACAAAATTTGCAGTGCTGGCACTGAAATTTTTTTCAATCTCTTAATATTTTTCTCTGTGCATCAAATAATCCACTCGACAGAATACGAATAACTACTCACAATCAGTATCTTCGGAAATGACACTGAGATCATTGATATACTCCCATCCAAACGGCGAAACTGGTGTCTAAAATCGAAATTCCAATATTGAAAAAAAATTACCAGCGCGATAAACCTTCTAAATTATTCCAAAAGTTGCTTCTGATTATCCCACCTTCGCCATTATTGAAGCCTATCTCCCACTTGCGAAGAAACCATCAGTACTGAGGATTAAATTTCCCATGTGTAAGCCACTCCTCGTATTGTTTACAGTATGAAGGTTACGGATTGAATGACAACAATCGTGATTCAACTGTCTCCCGATTGAAATCTAGAACTGGTATTTACCTGATTGTCCTAGTCCCCAAGACCCAAATATTTTCAGAGATGAATTTATTTAGGACAGGACGGAAGATAGATCGACAGCGATATTTCGAATGTTCATTTATTATCATAAGAAAAACATTTGAAACTTCATGATTATTTTTGTTATAAAAATTAATAATTGATTTCATTATATTTATTTCCATCATCGCGATACTTGTTCCCTTTCGCCTTCGCTTCAAATATTTTATTGAAGAACAATAAGGTTACAAAAAATTCAACATAATTTCTTGGAGAAAACGGCAGGTTTTTCTATCAAATTTCTCCGTTCAATAGATAAATTTCAATGCTTTTACATTTCTTTGATCTTGATGGAGATTCATGTGAAATTTGTTATCTTTTACATTAAAAAAATTGAAAAAAAATTCAATTTGATTCAAAAACCCATCGTTTTCTCTTTGAAATTATATTGAATTTCTAGCGATATTCTGTAAAGATTCTATTAGAGTTCTATTGGAATTCTATTGCATCTCATGCAACTTTGTCGTACAATTTTTCAATAAATATTTTTGTGTAAGAATTCTCGGTCATGAATTTGCCAAGGGTTTTCTCAATTTTTGTGAAAGATATTAAATTTCCTTCTATCAAGTTGGTTAATTTCCCTCAAGGAAATCTGTTCCACTCCATCAAATATTCAGAGCAATTTTTTTCTCCCGGTGTAGAACTTCCAATAGAAATCATCGCGAGAAAAAAACATTTTTTTCTTAGGTTTTTTAAACAGAATTCTACCAGAACTGTATGGAATTTTCATATAGATCTAAGAGGAATGCAATACAACTTTTTAGAGAAAGCTCATTTATTATCATGGCAATAAGAAAAACATCTGAAACTTCATGATTATTTTCGTTACAAAAATTAATTGATTTCATGATATTTATTTTCATCATCAGGAAACTCGCTCCTCCATGTCCTCGAGGAACTTGGTGGCATCAGCAATTGTCTTCTCCAGACGTTCCTTGGTCGCAGAACTCTGCTTTTGTTCCAATTTACGTTTTGCTGACTCTATTGCTGCACGATAGCCAGCAACGTTTCGAAATATCTTAATCTGCTTTTCAACTGCCACCAGCAGGTACTCCCCGGAAGCGTCGAAAGTCAGGCAAGACACGAAACCTGGGGAAAGCAAACGAGAGATCCATTGAATTGAATTGCACTTCCTGCAATTTTATTTTTCAGTCAAATTGATATTTCAATTACCGAGATCCTCGATTGTTGTGTCGAGTTGTCCACTGATGGTGGAGAAGAGGGAGAGGGATGTGTCGTGGCCTATTGCCAAGACCTCACCATTGGGTGAGAGCGCCACTTTAGCTGGTGTTTTATTCTCCCAGGTACCTGATGTCAGCAGGCGAGGATCTTCACCTTTTTCATACTCAACTGGAAACAAAATATGAAGGGAAAATTTCAGGCGAATTTACTGATGAAAAATTGGAGAGAAAATTTAGCACTTCTTTTCAGAAATTCTATTGAAATTTGTTTTAGAAGATACGAGAATATTTATAAATAAATGGATATAGTTATGAATCTAATTGATAAATATAATATATTCATTTGTTAAATGACCAAATTATCTATTCAGATTGGGATCTCTCCGAGAAATTTTTTTGAATTTCTTTCGGCCCTCCATAAGAACTCTATCGGAATTCTCTTGGAAATTCCTCGTTTTGCGTTGATTTCCATTAAAAGTTACACAACTTTGTCGAGTGGTTTTGAAATTTTTTCGGTAAGAATTTTTGGAGACAAAATTTTCAATTCTCTGAATCGCATTTCTTCATGAAAAACAGAAAAAATTGTTTAAGAATGTGGAAAATTTATTCCAAAGAATTTCCATAGAGAAAATGTCAAGAGAATAGTTCATACAGAAGAATAAAAATCCATTGCCTTTTTCCAAAATTTTATGATTTTCAATTGACTATTCCACAGAATCCAGTCCTTGCAGGATATTTTGAAATCGATGGGAGACGGGAAAATTTTTCGTATCTATTTTAATTTGAGAGTTATCTATTAAAATTTCACCCTAAAGTGGATTTACCCATGAATTCATGAAAACATGTAAAATCAGAATCTAATGTAATTCCAGACAGCCAAATGCTAATTATTCTCAAACTGTAAAAAAATTTTCACAACGTTTTGTAAATGACTCAATAAGGGTTGCTACATATCAATAAAAAAATTGGCTTTACTTAAGTCGATTCAACAGTAAAAAATCTTACTCTTGGTATCATAAAATCTGTAGCTTCCGTCTTTGGATACCGAGACCATCTGACTCGAATCAGCACAGAAATCAAAATCATAGATCCCTGAAGAGTGTCCGGCGAGATCGAAGGCCTTCCCCACCTGCTTGAATTCTCCGGTTTTCGTGAATCCAACTTCCCAGACTTTCACGTCGGGTGTGAATCCTGGATGAAGAAACTCAAGTAATTCATTATTTGTTTAAAATAAATGAGAATGAACTGCATGAAACGATTTAATAGACAAACATAGCGTTATCTTTAAGAAATTCCATTGGAATTCTTGTAAAATTCTATTGAAAATTTTATGCAACTTTGATATGCGTTTTTAAATAGATATTTTTCGACAGAAAAAAAATCGATAAATGTTGATTTTCTTTTATAACTAATTCTGTTGGGACTGTTTTCATAAAACAATTCTTGGGCATGAATTTTCCAAGATTTTCTTCCGAGATTTTGTAACGAGGAAAAAATTCAGCGGAAAAAACTTGAGAAATTAATTTCTAAGAAGTTTCTTGGAAAATAAATTCACATTTAAAAAATTAAAATGAATTGTCTTTTTTAAATTAAATATTCATCGAAATATCAGTGGCCAAAGGGGCAGTATTTTCGATAGAACTCCAGTAGAATTCATCCCCAAAAAAGAATTTCAAGAAAAAGCTTGTGCGCCCGCTGAAAAATACTATTAGCTCCAGATGAATTGTATTGAAAAATTTCGACGCCTTTTTACGGGGTTTTTTCAATAGCAACTATTGAATAGAAAAAATGAATATCTTATGATCTTCCTGCACAACTTATTAATTAAGCATAGCACTGCAAATCAACTGTGATGTGATTAAATAAAAAAATCACAAAAACAAAACCAAGAATACAAAAAGGAAAAATTTGAGTCTGGGTATTATTACATTACTTAGATTAGGTAGTCTAGTAATTTCATAACATAAGCAATATGAATAATGGTTTCCATGATGAGTATTATTTTGAACTGTTCATTTTATCAATTTCATTATTATACGAATGTATAAAATAAAAATGAAACGAGATGAAACTTATTCTATTCAAGTATTTTCTACAGAAATTCCTCCCCATCAAATTTCCAAGTTCTTTTTGTCCTTTTTGTTGTTGTCCTCTCATCGAAAACAGATTTAACAGAAAAAAATCAGAAAATTTAGACCGCGAACTTTTCATCATTTTTGTTAGAAAATATCGTAATAAAATTTCTCAGAGAAAGCGTCAGGTTTTTCTATTCGCTTTTTCATGCGTGATTATAATGAAGTCTTTACCAGAAGCGGCAACGAAACGTCCACAAGGAGAGATCCTAGCCCTATGGGTAGACCCCAGGTAAGTGTCCACAGTGGCGATTATTTCGCCCTTTAAATCCCAAATGATCAAATCGTTCTTTTTACTGCAGGTCATGATGAATCGTCCATTGCAGGCGATGTCCATCCCCACAATATCCTCTTCATGTTTCTGCATAATTACCATGATAAACACATGAATGTTTACCCAATAAACGTTATCATCAACGTAATCACAACTTCATGTTGAATTTCAGATGTTAAAATAATTATTTTTAATTCTAAAAATTTGAGATGCCTAATTTTTATTGAATTTACCTTTTGAAACTCGAGCACCGATGTCGCAGAAATGAAGAAGCCATTAGTCTTCTTCTTGAGCCCATAAACCTCGATATTATTCCCCAACGACTTGTGAATTATGAAGGCCTTTCCATCCGGTGAAACTCGAACATTAGTCGCAAAGTCATAATCGATGTTAACACGAAGTGACTTTTTCTCCTTCGACGCAAGGTCTTTGGTGCACCAGATGTGAACGGTCCTGTCTGAATAATAATCCAAGAATAATGAGAAATTTTTCAAGAAGAAAATTAAATGAAATACGTTAAATTCATATTTCCCCATTTTTCATAACTAAAAATTAAAAAGTTATACCCGATTTTTCAATCCCCTGTAACTTGCTAATTTAGCACTTTATCTCCAAGAAAATACAAGAAATAATCGAATAGAAAAAGGAAAAAAACAATAACTCAATAATTTTCTAATACAAACGTGTTTATTTCCCTCATCAATAAACAATTCAATTCACCACGATACATAATCTCAGTTCCAAAAATTTAAAAGACAATTTTTCGAGAACAAGAGCCAAGATCGAAGAACACTCTCATGATTGATACACAAAAAAAATCAGTAGATAAATATAATCCTATTGTGAGCGCATGTACAATTTTGATTGGCAGGTATCGATTGCAGCCTGTCACCTCTTCTTTTTCGCTGGTGGAGGCATGAGATCCGTGTCGTCGACAAATCTATACTTGTCTATGAATTCCAGTAGAATGTCCTTCGTCACAGGATCACTGATGCTAAAGCAAACAGCTTTCGCAGTGTTGTAGGAGTTGGGGAAGGATTTGTCTGTTCTTTCTCTCATGAAGATCCACTTTCCCTCCTCGTACTTGCACTCGACGATCTTGTTATCCAATTCTTTACACCCCTTGATGCTCGTGATCTGGGCGAAGGGTGCATCGAGACCCCCCACGTATAGTTGTCCAATTTTCTTGGGTAAAATCCCAGGCCCTGACTCGGTTACGATCTTCAGTTTGAAATCCACTGAATTCATAGACAATGGTTTCCATTTCAGCACGTCATTGGCAGGTCCTGGGTTGTAAGGCTCTTTAGCTGGCTGGAATATGAGCCCATCTGGCTCGTGACTCAACATCTTGGCGAATTTTTCGCCGAGTAAACTTTTAGCTGATGTCAAATCCCAGAATTGTTTCAATCTCACTGATATTGGCTCTCGTTCTCGTAGTAATCGTCCCTCCTTCATGGCTCTGTGTCTACCTCCCATTATTTCTTTCTCGATTATTGTGTAGCGATCGGGGAAAAAGGAATGTTTAGATACGTCTCTACCGTCGTACATTATCACGTCGTAGGCTAAGTAGCGGGGATACTCTGCTCCATTGTCTTTATCGATTACCATTTCCTGCAAGAGATTGTCATTTTTTGCATTAGAATTTTAATAAAGCGATCAGCTGGATGAGGATATTCAGGGTTTTTTAATTAAACATTGTCGGATTTCAGTTGGTCGAGATTAATTGAGGTCAGTTGGATGTAATAATAATTGTGGAATGTTGAAATTTTGTGTATTACTAAAATACTCTGTCAATTTACTTGTTGGAATGCTTCCTATCGATTTCTTTGAACATTTTTTCGATGAATACTAGTAAGAAATTATGTTTATTTGGCTCGTAATTCAATGATTGTGGCATGTGAAGCTAAAAATGTGGAGATGAAACTAGAAAAACGTGAGGAAATCCATTCGTTTTGTAACTCAACTGAAAATATATCGAAATCCGATGAAAATTGTGGATTAAAAAATGTTTATAGACAGAATACTTGGGAATGGTTCTCAATTCCAACAAATCATCAATAATGAAAAGTCAATCTCAAGATCGATTTTTTGTAGTTGTGCAGTTCCAACAAAAATGGCTCTTGACATTTAATTCAACATGCCACATTATACCAGTTTACAGCTAAAATGACAAGTAAGGATATCCAAGTACCGTCCAGTTTCAGAAATTTGGAGATTGTCAATAATCAAACTTTGCAATTAAATTACTTAAAAAAATAAAACATTCTCCCATGAATAAATAATTAAATATGTTCTAATTTTCAGAGACGTTTTTGTCATTAAATGAATTTTTAGTAAAATTCTGAATTAGTATGAATTTTTTGCGACAAAAAAATGATTTTTCAAAACATTCACGAAAACTGCAACATTTGAATAATTTCATAAATCTTTCTTAAAAAAGAACCTTCATTTATGTTCCTGATTCTTTAATTGTTTCTGATCGATTCAAATTGTATAACCAAATGCAGACCTTCCATGTTCGCCTAGTAATAAACTCAGCAAAATGTTCATGAATTCATAACGTTATGTAGCTTAAATGAAAGTTCTAACGTTCAACGATAAAATTTCCCCACAAATAAAAAAAGAATTTAATTAGAGGATGATGGTGCACAATGGACACTTTTCACTTTTCTTCCAATATCCATTCCTCAGAAACAAAATTGATCACTTGACCTCAGTCTAGTCTCAAAACAGAAAAGACTTCAGCTGAGTTTTCGAGGAATATCTCCTAATCTGCGGGAGATAATCAATTTTTTGTCACCACCTTTTCCGTAGCCCTCAATTCACTCTACAAAAAAGGCCATGACAAAAATTTAGCTATCCCCCTTAGATTCCAAGACATTCAACAAAAACTGGCCAATAGTCAAAATCGATTTAAAACGTTGTACCTCTTCCCTAATAACTTGTACTTTACTCCACTATCTCACTTCTTTGAAAATTCAATGAGTCATTAAAATTTGAAAAATAGTCAAAAGTGTGCATTTGCCCTTCCCCGCCCTGGTACTTGGATATCCTCAATACCACCCAAAAAACCCAATCCTCAACAATTCCCACCCCCACCCCCGCCAAAAACTCACCCCATCAAGCAACGTATCCCTCAGTGGTCTGGTGACATCCCTAGGATGTGGAAAAGCCAGTCCCGTAATCTCAAAAACGCTGTTGTTCCTATCAATGAAGTACAGCTCCCCATCCCCCTGAATCAGCAGCATATACCTGCAGTTACGACCAAAATGATCAATAAACCCTAAGATCCAGCTGACATCCACCACCCCCCAACCCCGAATAATCACCTGGTGCCATCAGCCTTCCAGGAGACCCTGTACGGTTTCTCATGGAGCAGCCTGAGGTTGTTCTTGTCCATGGAAACCGGCTGGGATCCAGGAAAGCCCCCAGTCTCCCAGCCACACATCTGCTGCACTCTCGCCTGGATCCCAGCGACCTTACGAGACTCCTTGACCACCTCCACATTGGGCACACCAGCCATAAATACTGGATTTTTCGGATTAAACTCTCGTCTGCGTTTACCATTGGCCTGTCCACTGGTCCCTGATTCAGGCGCCTCATCAGTGTCCTCAACATTGGCATCGTCGTACTCAAGGCACCAGGTGGGTCGTGGCGGGGGTGCTGGAGCATCATCAATGTCAGAGTAACGTTTGAACAGCTCCATAATGTAATCTCCCTTGTAAATTCCTGGAGGTCTGGCAATGGCGAAGTGACTGAGTCCTCCATCGACATCACTGTACTCAGTCTCCACCAGATAACTGATGATGAGAAAGCCTGTTCTGTTGAATCCGTGGGTGCAGTGGACTCCGATGATGTCCAGGGGATTTTTCGCGATAAATGTCTTGCAGATCTTGATGAAGGTGTCTGTCTGCTCTGGGGAGGGGGTCTCACCGTGACCCCTGCAGGCAAGTTTGAGGTAACGACAGCCATACCCCTCGACTTCTTTTCTGTCGTAGAAGCGAGAGGTGTTGGTGAGGTCTATCCACAGACCCATCTTCTTCCTCTGGCTTTTCAACGACTCGAAGATAAAGCTGACAGTGAAACGGTGCTTCTCGGGCACCTGGGAGTCGTAGTCCGAGGACAAGGGGGTCTTGAAAGCCAAGAATTTGTCGGCTATTACTCGGTTTGACTTGCGAGGACAGTGCAGCCAGCGTGGGGGCACTGGACCCTTGTCCGATGAGTTTCTACTCATGTCTGGAGGTTTTGGGGGAATTTATTCTTGATTTTTGGGGATCGTTTGACGTTTTGTGGGGATTTATTTGATGATTATTTGGTCATTCGCTCGGTTTTTAGGGGGTGAAATCCACTGGGTAATGGTTTTGTCATTCCATTTGAGAGGTTTTTTAGTCTTTTTTATGTCAGTCTGGTGCAGAAGAGAAATTAGGACGAGCTAACCTGTGATGTTTCTGTTCCCTTCTCTCGTTTTTACACTTTAGAATTCACCTCTCACTTATTCTTGTCAGTCCTTCACCAGAAGAGTCTTGAGGTTATTTTTTTTAGTCGACTTGAGATATCTACAAGTGTTTTATCCTCATTTCTGGAGGATTAGAAAGACGGGAGCGTGTGGTTGTCAATGCGACACAGCTGCTCATGTCCGCCATACTGTTTTAATGTTTTCACCTGTTTCCCACGACTGTGCGCCATCTTTGGCCGCAACACGTCGCGACATCTGTTTATTCTCCGCGTAATAGGGATTTTACGATGTGAACGATCGGTATGGGAGTGATTGGGGGGAAATCATGGCACGGATGAGGCGAATGAGGAGATTACAAAAGAATAATTGAGGACAGAATGAAGACAACAAAGGGATGCACTGGCGTCCCCCTCATTCGCATGACTAATGAAATCGTTGCGTACTTTTTTTCGCTCGGGAATTCGTTGTTACTTGGGTGCTAAATATAAAATCCTGGGCTTCGAAAATTACGCAATGATGTGTACTGGCGCATTTGAAATAGGTGAGGTTTGACATTTATGTAATCAACTTTAAATTTACGATTTTGAAACTGTAACTGAGTGGTGATGTACTAGACACTTTGTGTCAGGGATGAGACATCGGGGGATATTTATGACGAGGGGCAAGCACAATTAATTTGTTGTTTTGGGCGATGGGAGGTGGGGGGTAGCCTGGGGCAGAGCCGAGAATTTTTGAATGTTGAATGAATGATTTTTGAAAAGGGAGTCCAGGACACAATGGATTGCTATCGTATAATGCAATTTTTTAGCGTGGGAAATTCATTGTTGATGAACTATTCATGGAACAATGTAGTAGTCTTCGAAAATTGGTATTCTTGAATTATTTTCTGACTTTGAAAATTTATACTGAGAGAAAAAGTAAGAGATTTTGAAACGAGTCTTCACGGAGAACATTATTTGGCGAATTTCAACAACTGGTTGGTGACGTACACCAAGTAGCTGTTGAAATTCGTCAATTAGTTTGTTGAAATTCACCAATTAGTTGTTAAAATTCAACAATTATTTGTTGAAATTCCCCAATTAGGTGCTGACATTGAACAACTAGTTCTTGAAATTCACCAACTGGTTGGTAATTCATTATTTTCAACAACCAGTTGGTGAATAATTTTCTCCACATTGTTTGAAGCAAGAAGATTGCAAGCTGAAAACTATTAAGAGAGGGCTTGTTTCCATTCATGTATACGAGGTGAGGTTTGACCTTTACGTAAACAACTCCAAATTTGCGATTTTGAAACTGTAACTGAGTGTTGATGTACTAGAGACCTTGTGTCAGGGATGAGACATCAAGTGATATTTATGACGAGGGCCATGCACAATTCATTAAATGTGTTTTGGGTGGTGATAGGTGGGGGCTTGTTGACTAGGTTACAGGACGGCTACCATATTATTATTATTCTATTTAAGAATTAATCTCTTATCTTTGATTATTCGATAGCCAAAACGAAAAACTTCTCTGCATTGTTTCGCTCAAAAACAGGACTATCCTGGAATGTTCGGCACGAGATTTTTTATTGTTGGTAATCTTGAACTCGCATTCATTAGGTTCAAACAACACTTGTTTGAAAACATTTTTAGACCTTCAAATAATAAAATCATTAACTAAATGGAAGCTCTGATGATGAGCTACAATAGGTTTTAAACTATAAGTAATGGCCAAAGTAGTTAAATGGCTTCACACTTTAAATTTCAAAGCTACTCTTGAAATTTTAAGTCACAAACCTTGAATTTTACACGAACTACTTCATTTCAAATTTTTATTTGTTTCTATTAATAAATCGGTCAATTCTTGGAATAATCAATGAAATTGTGATTGTGGTTTTTAGATCTATTCGACAACGAGATTTGTCGAAAATTGTCAAAAGTCAGACAACTGTTGTTTTTCAATTCCTAATCTTTGGAATGAGTTTTAGAATTCCAGCATAAAGTCACAAGAAAAACACTTTTTTTCAAATGTTCTAGATCGATCAGAAATCGATATTAACAACATTGCAAATTAATATCTAATTAAGTGTCTACAGGGCAAACTAACAATACACAATTTTTTTGCAATAATTATTCGTTTTTAGACGTTCGTTTTTTTATTATTCATTTCTTCGAAACGCGGAAGGGAACACATACGAAAAAATTCAATAGAAAACCTTAGCGAATTGGCTAAAAAATTCTGTTTGAATTCTCTAGAAATTCTATGGGGATTCTGTTAAAATTCTAGGAAATTCTCGTTGAAATTCCATTTTTTTTTGCGACGATTCCATTAGATATTTAATAGGAAAAAGTTAATAAATTTCGATTTTTATTTTTGAATTTTTCTCTTGAGATTTTTTGTATCAAAATTATTGGGCACGGATTTTCTAAGTTTTTTCCACTATATTGTGTTTTGCATTGCAAGATCCGAGTGAGAAAAACTTCATGACCAAGTATTCTTATAGAAAAAATTCCAAGAGAATATTCCTATAGAAAAATCGAAATCTATTGATTTTTTCCTATCAAATATCTCATACAATCAGCGCAAAAAATATAATTTTAAGGATAATTCCCTACAATTTGACTAGAATACCAATTGAATTTCTAGAGAATTCCAGTAGAATTTTATAACGAATTCGCTAAGTTTTTCTATTGAATTTTTTCATACGTGCTGTGACTCTTAAAACTTATAGTAGTCTGTCTCCCCTTAAGTGCAAAATTTTCAACAATGTGGGTCAGCCCTCGAATTAGTTCCAATCAGAAATACTCCACTCCATAATCGTCAGCACAACGACCAACAAGAACATTTCAATGCGCAATTAACAAAGTATTTGCGAGTGAGCCTGTAACCCTCATGTATACAAACAAAATATCTCATTTACCATGTAAATATTGACAGTGAGTCGGCAATTAAAGAGGGAAAATGTACATTCACGGAGAGACAACAGCGTCGTTAAGATCATGAAACCCCCAAGGGTAACGCAAATGTATCTGAAAAGTATCTCTGGATCTGCCTCAATATTATTCTCATTATCTCTCAATATCGCGTTCAATGACCGTAGGGGGTTCTTCCAAGGTTTAAGAACTTGTAAAAAATGTTAATCGCATTTTATTAGCATATCTCGTATTTTTCAGGGAGTTGAAAAGAGATGAATCTCATTGGGTAATGCAATTTCATTACCGTTAGAGATGAAAAGAGTATCGGAAAGAATTCATTACACGTGGAACGTGCCCTTCAATTATTCCATTACGGAGAAGAAACTTCACCGGTGAGTGACGCATTTATTTTACACAATCTGACAAAACCACTGTCTGATATCTTGCATGAAGATAAATTGCCATGGGAATTTATTTCCAAATTCTGGAAAAATTTGAATGTTACATCCTCCAATTAATTGCTTAATCTTGATTATTTGTTTATTTCGTGATAACGGAATTTTACAAACAAAAAATACAACAACGTATAAACAGAGTATCAGTCATGAGTAGTCTAGAGTAGCGATCCTTTGATTACTTTAGCCAGTGCATACACTGAGAGAAAAACTTTCGTATGGTATTTTAGAAAAATTTCTTAGAAGAAGCGCTGGATTTTTTGTTGAATTTTGTCATATCTTCATTACATTAATTTCGATAAAAATTCCCCTAAAATATTGAAATTTTTATTCAGAATATCGACGTTTTTATCGGATTTTTCACTTCGGAAGATGAAAATGTTATGTAGAAATATTTGAAATCCAGAAAATGTTATGGTAGAAATTCTCCAAAGGCTGTTTGATTATCGGATTCTACACATGGAGAGAAATATTCAATAAAAATTACGTATCTTTTCCGTAATTCCGGAGCAAAATGTGGTTGCAGGAAATTTTACGGAACTGTCACGGAATTTCTCCAGAGCGTTTGGTAATTTTTATCTGAATCTCTTGTGAAAAATTACGATACCGTCACTTAAATTTTCTGAGTCGATTCCATAATCGGTGAGTGAATTGTGAGTTCTGTAATTTTTACTGAACATTTCTCTCCGTGCAGGCAATTTCCTTCTGCACAGTTATTTTTTCTTCATCTGTCATTCCTAAATTTCACCGTACTTAAATCTTGGGTGATTATCCTTATCATAATGCTCATTTAACGACGACCATAATAATTCATCATTTAGAATTTTTGACATTCTCTCAAAATTTCTGATAAAGGAGCTAGTAAACAAAACGGGTCAATTTATTTTTGACGGTAGCAATTTGTCCAGCGTCACTGGTCATGTGGTCAATCAGTCAACGACACGAAAGTACTGGCGCACGCAATGAGCTAAACATTCTTTCTCTCTCATTATTCAATAAGTAAAGAGTCTTGAATTTGTGATTCTATACACATAATTGTGGAGGGAGTTTAGTACAAATAGCTTTGCGGGGTTGGGTTGCCAAAGGCGGGGGGGGGGGGTTGGTCGGTCGCCTCTGGAGTTTGACAAACGCCGGCCTTGGGAAGCCGTCTTTACCGTTGGCCTCGTGCAATCCCAATAAAAATACAAAGTTTAAAATTTCTGACTGCTTTATCATTCCATGCGGGCGACTCATTTATTCTTCTGTTTCGAGATGCTGACGGAGTAGGGATGTTTATTGCTAATGACATGTATTCATAGAATTCTTAATGGTCGTTCTTATGCACAGAGAAAGTTAATTTTTATGACAATTAAGGTCTTAACCCAGATTTAACAATGCGAAATGAAATGAATAGAACTAAATTTGTTTTTTTGCTTTCGAATGGAAGGATTGTATTTTTTGAATATTCATATTGTCTAATTTTGTATGGAAATGATGCAGAATGTTCTGAAACTTGAAGTCATTATTAACGTTTTGAGAATGAAGGAACATTACCAGGAAATCATTTATAAAAATCTCAAATTTTGAATAATTTTATCAAATAAAAAAAAATAGTTGAGCAGCAATTACTGATGGGAAACTCAAGTACTTGTAGTGCGAAATTCAGTATTTCCTCATACTGCCTGTAAAACGCAGTTTAATATAGCTATTAATCAATATTTGTTGATGTGAGGTGAATTCAGTAGCGAAATGGTAAAACGGTTCAAGTCGACTTACCTCCTAGTTAAGTTTTTTAGGCATATTTCGGAATCTAAGGGAGATAGCGAAATTTTCGTAATGACATTTG